TAACTTTATTTTAAATACACACACACAAAAACAATGTTGTATGTACATTTTAGTCTATACAAATTAATTTTTTGAACTTCTCATTTTTAGTATAAAAATTAACATGTTCTCCATTGATTTTTCTGGTAATAAGCCCTCCCATGTCAAAAACAGTTCAATAGAAATACTAACAAACGCTAATTTATTATCCTGCAATGATTGCAGGATGAATATGGTAATAATAAGTAAATTGCAACTAGAAATTACTTATAAGGAAGTGCACATGTATTTACATTTAGTTTCAAAAAGGAAGTGCACATGTATTTACATTTAGTTTCCACTTCTATTTTATTTTTTATGAATAAATAGGAAGGAAAATATTATTTGGAACACATTAAATTATTTTTATGATTTTAATTGAACTTCTAGAGAGATTTCTGAGCGGAAACCAGGTTTAAATTAATGCATGGTCGTGAAGATTTTGAGATAGATTGTCCATTAAACAAGTGACCATTGGGAAAGGACTGACACTTTATATGCAAATGTAAAACCAGATTTTTGATTGTACAAAGATAATTACTAAAGTAAGCTATATATGGAAATGAAAAGCAATGTACTACTATGAGGGATATAAGGTGTAGGGTCAATTTTGTTTGTGCAACAAACATCTGAAGGACCCAGGTACATGAGATCCAGGGCAGGAGAGCGTTTGATGTCAGTGAACATCACAAGGCTTGTGTGTTAGTTTGGTTTCATGTAAACATGGTATGCTGATGTTAGCCTGGGGTCGGTCCGAGGTTCCTGTTTGTCAAATCACCCACTGGTCTGATGTTAGATCTTAACTTCAAACATACATTTGGCCAGTAATTATTCGCTGCAGATATGGCTTTATGCATATAGAGGGTATAGAACCAGCTATAGTTATCTTATATTTTCTCTGGTTTTGGGTAGTACTGTTTTTGTGTTCTTACAGGACATGTAGCCTCTTATTAAGATGGTCCCTTCATTTGGGTATAATCCTTCTTTGAAATAAACACTGAGATTGACAACCTCTCTAAAGTATCAATCTGGTTTAACTGAAGTGACAACCTCTTTATAGTGACAATTCCTGTAAAGTGACAATCTGGATTGTGTCCACATCTGTAAACTACAGTGACAACCTCTATATAGTGACAATTCCTGTAAAGTGACATTGCCTGTGTGTTGTTAAATCTCTATAAAATGACAACCTCTATACAGTGACAATTCCTATAAAATGACATTGCCTGTGTATTGTTAAATCTATATATATAGTGACAACCTCTATATAGTGACAATTCCTGTACAGTGACATTGCCTGTGTATTGTTAAATATCTATAAAGTGACAACCTCTATATAGTGACAATTCCTGTAAAGTGACATTGCCTGTGTATTGTTAAATCTCTATAAAGGAAAAAACCTGTATATAGTGATCATTCCTGCTAAAAGACAAGTATACAATAACCACCATCACTACAAAGACCCCTGTGTATAATGATAACTTCTTTAAAGTAACAACCTGTTTATTTTGAATAATTCCTGTATGCTATTTACCTGTATTAAATGACCCTGTCCCTTTAAAATCTCAGACAAGCTGAGTATAAATATGTTAGTCCCTGAAAAAATGACACAGCTGAAGTTGAATTTGAAACCTGCAATATCAAACTTCTGTTTAAACAACTTTACTTCTGTAATATTTAAATACCATTTAATTCAAGTTCATCACTGTTTAAACAGACCTCCTAAATGACTTTTAAACTTTTTTAATGAAAGGATTTAAATCAACCTTGATATTGCCCTGACTGTTTCTTCATGTAAACATTTGGAATTTAAATATGTGCCCGAATCAAACGATTTATTATCGGTAGTATTTCACTAGTTTATTCCATAATTGTTCAGCTTTTTACACATTCATTTATCAAAGATTTTTACCATAAACATTGGCATAAAGTCTCCCGTAACTTTTGAATTTTTAGTTGTCAGTTGTGGTTTAGCATTGACTGGTATAGAATGGTTACGTTTTAGCTTTCTGTGAACAAACACTGCTGTGTCCAATGACTTTATTTCTTTAACCATTCATTAATTCACAATGTTAATAGGTTATTTAAATGTTAAATTCTCAGCTGTAAGTGAAAAAAAGAAAAAAGAAAATCCACTTATCATATATAGCTGTGTACAAATCTGTAGACATGGTAGCTTCAAATTAATTCAAACAGTCACTTAATTTAAGGATTTATTCTGTGTTAAGGTGAAATATCGTGAATTATAGTTTTAACTCTTGGATTTTTTATCATTGTTTATCTTGATGTGAGGTACAAAAAACAACCAAGTTTTCCTGTCAGTATTTGATGATACCTGAAACATAATGTCAAACGATAACACTGACTTAAATTGTATAGGAATTTACTAAATTTCTCTCCGCACACCGGAGGGAAAAACGCTTGTAAGGTCAAAAGTGGGACATATTTGAATCCGAGCCAATCGTGATTAATCTCGGTGTCGTCTGAATTGTTGCACCGGGGAATTCATCGTGTAGGTAAATAAAAGAGACACAGGTAAATCGGAGCGCTTCTCAAATGAGCTCTGTGCAGGTGATGTCGTCTGTATTATTTACCTGTGTCTTTCTCACCTGGGAGGTGACAAGGAATACCTGAATTTGATTAATGATCTGTGAGGGAAATATGTTATTATTATTGTTGCATAGTTTCTTTTTATATAAAAATTATCATAGTTGTACTTCCTTGAATAATTGATATTTATAAATATGAGAATTTTTAATACACAGAAAAAATATACAGATTGTTTTCATGCATACATATACTTTTATTTAATTTTTTTCTTAAGTTTGAAATTGAAACGACTTTTGTTATGAATGAAGTGTTAGAGGGGAAAAAAAAAGTACATTTTCTTGAATAATTTTGATATTTATATATTTTTTTTCTAATTGGTATTTTTGATATAAATTTCAAAATCACATGATAACATTAATTTGTTTTTTGTATCGGTGACATATTTGGATTCAAAATTCAAAGATAGATATTTAGAAGTGACTGATTGAAATTATTTCATAAAAAGTGCTTAAAAAATTAAAGAATTTTTTTAAAAGAAATATTAAAGTCAGATTTACATGATCATACAAGCTCTATGTGCATGGTGGATTTTCCGTATTATGTAAAGGTAAAAAAAATATTTTTTCTTTATTACAATAAGGTAAAAAAATAAAGTCAAAACCAATTGTGTTGTCAGTCACTGTTGTAAACAAATAGCAAATGTGTTCACACAATGAAGGAGTAATAATCAATGTCTTTTTGTGTTTTTTTACGAACTGCCATTTCGCTTTAGGCTACTTGATTATCTGTGACCGTAACATTCATCAATTCAATGTTTGATGGCTTCCAGTGTTAAGGAAAAGTATGTAAAACATCGATAGGACCAAGACAAGGAGTAACCTTACCTAACCTATAATTCTCATATGGACTCTTCCACCCTTTGATCTGGACATGCATACTTTCTGATAGTGGGGGGAGGAAGGGTGGAGTACAAATTGCATTGAATAGGAATTCATCAAATTGATTGGGGAAAGTTTATATCAGCTGTCGGACGAGTACAAAAACAAGTTACATAGCTGAGGTGGTCATGCTCCGTTGTTGCTACCTTGCAATGAAAAGATTTCATAGAGATACATTTTATGTAGGTGTTTTTGGATCAATTTTTTTCTCTCAAGAAAACAATCAATGTAATATTTAGGTAGCGGACCTGTTTGATCCTGGATGTACCGTAACTTGTGTTTGTGATATACGAATACTGTGAAATATTCCAGGAAAATTCCATGACGGAGGAAATTGTCGGGTGACTTTTTAATTGATAGGTGTCCGTATTAAACTTATTTCATATACACACGGAAACAAATATTGATATAAATTAACTGAATAACTGAGAAGCTAAACAAAATGATAAAATGCTGCTTGTGAAACGTGAACAAGTGTCCGTAGTTTTTCAAACGTATGTATGCAGTTTAAATTAATTTCAAACATTTCATGCGAACGTGGTTGAATAAGAAGCATTAATAGAATTGGAGCATCATCGAATGCTAAGAAAATGCGCAGGAAAATCTTCTTTTTTTCCCTCAGGATTTATATAGTAGCTTATGAATGAAGTTTGTTTTTACTGGTGTTAAAAAAAGGACGCTTGGAGGATTATGTGTGCAAGTTTGTTAAACATGGCATATTTGTGTTAGAAACATTTGAGGAAACAGTATCTTGACATACCCTAAATGTATCGTAAGCTGTAGGACGAAAATGTGTTTTGATATTTTCGGCAGAACTTGTGAATTCGACACTTTCACCCTCTGAAGTCAGAAGTCGACCTCACTCGTGTTCTCCTGGGGTCTGACTATAGTCCGATCCGATGGTCACTGTGTGGGTCGTAATTAATTGACCACTCTCAGGAACGTAGAGTTTAGACCTAGTGCTTATCTTTCATGTGTAGCTCGGAGGTTTTTCGTGAAGACATGATGAACTGTCCTGACACTCCTCACCTACATCTTACTACAACTAACTTAAGGGGTTATGTACCATAATTCATGCAGCAACTCTAAGCCTGACCGTCTTAAATAGACTTTGCATATGTTTTTTTTTTGGGTGAAAATTAAAAATAAATGGACATAATTCAAATATATAAACCCAGGTAAGATTTGTATGGGTGCTTATGCATTTTTTAAAGGCATAACTCATAAAACTTGAATTTTTCTAAAATTTGAAGAAAAAATAATAAATTTTGAAATCTGTATTTATATGCTACTGATTAACAAGGCTTTGAAAAGCTTGGCTAATGTATAACATAGCAACAGTATCAATGAAAACTTCATTATGGTAATCATACAATTTTTCTGAAGTTGATGTTTGATTAAATGTTAATTGATTAAAATATGTTTTTTCTTTTCCTTTAGTTAGTGTCTGATTAAATGTTAATTAAAATGCATTTTTTCTTTTTTCCATTACAGAAAGAAATATCTGAAGGTTCGGAATGGAATTATTAAGGCTCAGGCACAAGTTCGCATGCGGAGGGAGCGCCATAGATATCTTCACGTAAGGCCCCTTACATCAATGATAATGGCTCCTTAGGTACATTAATACCTGGCAAGGTCACGACCTGTAGGTTCTAGCTGCAGGAGGTTGAAGGGCTCAAGTTTACCTTATGAAGTTAAGATAACTGTGTATATGTTGTAGTTTTGATGTACTGTTCAGTCCCACCCTTACGGTCCCCAGGGCGATAGCCAGTTGACAAGGGCTGGCGCTGTATTAGTCAGATTGTACGACCACGGCTTCAATCAAACTCACGCATCTCGAATCCACCCAAATCTCCCCACCTTCCTCAGCTATGCCGATGTATCTGAAACGTACTTCTTAGTCTTGTGCACAGGACAGGTAACGACGAGCTCTCGACAGAATGGGGCAACATGGACTGTTTTTTAAATTCTTCCTGGATATAAATTTCTCCTGAGTTTTTTATTTCGTGTTCCTTAAACAAGGTAATTTTTTGTATAAATGTATAACTATCGGACATACTTGAAAAAACCGATTTTTCTTGTATAAGTTGCTGCTAATTAGCATAACTCTTACGACACTGTATTGGTGCTGTCGGAATAATGTTTGATCACCGTCACGCCTGATTAGGTTCATTTTATGTTTTGGGTCAGTGAATTGTTCTGTCATGGCCACAGGATTTTAGTGTTCTGTCGGTTGGTTTGATGGTAGTATTTTGGACAGTTTCCATTCTGCTTGAGTGATCACTTCAGGATTAAGATCCAGGGACGTCTTTATAGCAGACAAATGCATTTACATTAAATCTTTATACTCTGCTTACGGTTTTATTACGCGATATCCACTTGCATAGGATAAGGTCCTCTGGTGACTGCTCTGGAAGGGAAATACCTGGCAATGTTTTCAGACAAATGGAAATAATATCACTGTGAATTCTAAACCAACGTCAAAATGCCGTGTTTGGAAATGGATTCTACCTCTTCCTCCCCGACGTATAATGCTGTATGTGATGAAGTTAAATTTTACTTTTCTCAGGCTCGGGAGGAACTAAAACGCAAGGCTGAACAGGATCGAATTGCTCGCCAAAAACAGGAAGAACAAGTCAAAATGGCACGCGAAGAAAAGGTAAATGAATTTATGAAAAATAATTTCACTGTCTTTCGGAGGCAGTTTCATTATAAACCTTGGTTTCAGACAGGGTTCTGTTTTGATCCCTTGAAATTTGCTCAATTTCACTTAAAATGGTATTGGAGGGAATTGGGATAAAAAATCCTAATCATTTCTTTGAAAACCTTGCTTTTGTTGAGAATTCTGTTTTTTCTAAAATAAAAAATGCTTGAAGCATTCACTTTGGTGAAAATGATAACATATTCCAAATTACCTTCATCAGTTGAACAAACAAAAATCTGCACCACGTACATGATCAAATGTTTTAAAAGAGTTAACTATGAAATGTGGTGCATGTCAGAGTTCAGTTGTTTTAAACAAAGTTCTCAAAAATTAAATTCAGCAAATAAAATTGTATATTTACTCAGGAGGGATAAAAACTAAATGCTGAAGTGTTTTTTTTTATTACCAATTCATAAATCAATACTACCATCATTTTCCAAGCAAAACATGCTTTGGACTCAAATATTTGAATGACGTCATAATTATTCAAACTTAAATATCTATTGGTCAGATTCAGAAAATTTCATATTGTATTCAATCTGTATAGAATTCAAATGTTTTGTTATTTTGAGTTTTCATTCAAAACTGTGCTTGAAATTCAAATTTTCTGAAAAGTACAAGTTTAGTCATATAAAAGGTTGAATTGTAATGTTTACATACGTGGGCAGGTGTTTGAGAAACAGCAGTAGATATATTGTAAGTGGTGACGTCCATTTCAGTAGGTGGACGTAAATACGTGTGTATATACCTGGAGGACAGTCATCAAAATTGGGCGAGTCACCGAGGTTGTCTCCAGATCGCACATATATTAATGTCCGCTCAAAATTATTTGCATCGTTAAAATGTAATTTGCCCACGTCAAAACAATTGGGGGAACTTCATAAACAACAAAATTGATTTAGTGGAAGAACGTTGCCAGAAATAAACTTGTAAGGTTCGTCTCTGTTGAAGTCATGCAGTTCTTGCAAATCTGAAACTAGCAAATTTATACAAAATTTCAGGAAGAGTGACAGATTTGTTTTTTAAGTTGGCATGCGGGAGATATGAAAGAACTTTAACTGTTTTTAAATGCCTGAAAGCCATCTTTTTAAAAAATCAATGCAATTTTTTTTTATATTTCTTTTTAACATAAGTTTCAATTTTAAAAAAAAAGGGTGATCAGTATCCGCATGTTAACTTAGTGTAAGTAATGTTATTTTTAGAAATGATCAAAATATGTGCTATGTCATGGTTGAATATAGATATGGGTGTGAACATTTTTGGGAAAAAATTAATGAAGGCCACTTTGGCCTGATTTTATTATTTTGTCAACATATTCAACACCCCGGGTATATGTTCCACTAAAGTATACAAGTATATGTTGATACTGTGTTCGAATATTTAATAGTTCTCATCATATGATTATTGAGATATTGAAGCCAATACCTTGACTGTTGAATTGAGTATCAATTGTAAATTCAGGTTTTTTTGTCGGAAATAAAATGACACGACAGATATATTATTGTCCAATCATGTTTCAAACGATCAAATATCAGAAAAAAAAAAGATATATGATTATCAAATACCAAAACAAATTTAATTAAGGAAATCGAACAGATATTTAATTGTCATTATTACGTAAAAATAACATGCTTCCGTTAAAAATTGTGAGGATGACAAATATGAGCTAGTCATTCCTGTGACAGACTATATCTGTCTTTGGTAGTATATATCAAACATTTTGATGAATCGGATTTCATGCAATTTTGCTTAGAGGTAGCTGATTCAGTGTTATGAAGGCTTTTGTAAATTCTGAACTCAGTTTGTATTTTCTAAACATCATCAATTTTTCATTGGGAAACCCCTTTCCCAAGATGCAACCCCGGGCATCTCCCAATTGCCTTAACTCATTCACCCCTGAAATTTCATAATGAACTATTCCAACCTTTGAATTGGAAGAGTTCAAATGTGTCTTCAGGGGTGAATGAGTTAAGAAGTTCTGCATTGTCTCTGTATGAACCCCCCTGTTCCCATCAGAAGCATTTTTGTATTGAAATCTTCATATATAGCCTCTGTCATGTGAACCCACTAGTTTCACTTGAAGCCAATTTTATCGGAAACATTTTCAATCCTCTTCCAATTTCATTCGAAGCTATTTTCATTTCATACTTGGAGCCTGTCTGTAGCTGAAGACCCCATGATTTCATCTAAACTGCTAATTTTGTTTCAACCTTGGAATTCCCGACATTGTTTCAACCCTGAAACTCCTTATTTCATAGGAAACCTGGATCTCTTGATTCATTTCAACCCTGGAACTGCTTATTTCATTTCAACTTACAACTAATGATTTCATTTCAACCCTAGAACTCCTGATATTGTTTCAACCTTGATACTCTTTATTTCATGGGAACCATGGAACTCTTAATTCATTTCAACCCTGCATCCCTCCCTGGGAAATTCAATATTTCTTTTGAATCCATTCTCTGCTCTCTGGCAACCTGTGTTCTCAGAACTATTTTTGTATTTCTCCCTCATACCATCTTACTTCAACAGTGGTAAAAATGCTGACTTCGTATAAGTACTAAATATTTTGTTGTTTTGTATAATTTGTGTAAATTAAATTATTCCAGTTAAGATGTATGAAAAGTTGGAAGAATGTATGATACATGTTTGGACACACAAAAAAAATCTATAAGAAGGGGAGTGTCCGTATAACATGATCTTAACATTCTATTAGACGGTCAGTAGCCAACGTCACATGATAAATGACCAGGGCAGCCTTCCCTTATTACGGGCGTCAGACTGTTCATGATTAATAACTATTACACTGAGGGTCATTGTCCACTTGTGTCAGGCTGACACTGTGGAAGTGGTAGGACCAATGTAGTGGTCAGTTCTGTAGGACTCTGGTCAGCAGGTACGTGTTATAGTGATCTACGACCTATAGAAATAGTCTAGGCACCTGCATGCCCTCATTGCATTGGTCAAGCTTTTGACGGTTAATTGATAATCTAGAGAATGTATATAGACAAGCAAGATTAGCTTGTCTGTTACATGTTCTTGACCATATTGGTCATTGAACTCTACATGGTCAGTTTGCAGTCAGTATATGGCTAACGGTCAAGATTTTGACCATTCATAGGATTCACTGCATTATAAGGTATTAAACAGAATTTTTCAGTGGACATTTTCTTGACCATTGTGTTTTGTGTTTTTCTACCTCGCTGTCATTTGGCAATCAATTCATGGCTGATGGTCAAGTGATTAGCCGAGCGGGTCATTACCTTGGGCAGGTGACCTTATCAAATTTCGCTAATCTGTTACATTTGACATTATGTGATTGCATGATAATGAAGGTCATTGAGGGTCACTTATTGTGTCTCAGTCACACACAATAAAATAATTAGGTCAAGATTAAGTATAGGTTTATGGGCTGTGGAAATCATTTTTGTGTAAATATACTTCTTTCAAAATTTATACATGTAGCTATATTTATCCCTGTACCACTGCCAAAATCTGTGACTAATATTACGATGCAATAGAAATGTATTTCCAAGCCTAACTATAGCTTTTATAAGTCATTTTTGACAAGACAAGAAAACTATACCTTGCAGAACTCACAAAAAAAAAAAAAAAGATAAATAAAAATAAAATAAAATCTGAGTGTAAAAAACGCAACAGAGCCAGACCAGGAATCGAACCCAGGACCTCAGATAACTATACTGTCGCTCTAACCAACCATGCTACCTGGTCAACAGCAAGACCCAGGTTCTTTACTAGAACAAATATTTTCCTTAATTTATAAATAAAAAACTGTTGGTCAGATTGTTATTTAAAAACTTGAAAGAAAACTTCTTTTCTAGAACTTATTGTCCTAAATTTATCAATGGAAAATGGTTTTGTCTCTGAAATATTTGCTTCATGCGACCACATTTATATGTAATGATTGAAGTGAAAGTTAAATTAGATTTGTGTTTCCCTATCAGCTCAGGGAAATGAAGTACTTATAAATGTCATGAATATTCATACTCAGGAATATAATAAATCTAAAAAAAAACCTGTTTTGTTTACATCATTGTGATGCTGAGAAATTTGCAACCTCATGCAGATATATGTGATTTTGCATAAAGCTCACCTTTTGCAGAGATTTTAGTAAACAAATGGTTCTACATTTAAGGTATTCTATCATTTTTCCTTCCAAGGAAATCTGTATTCGTCATTTTCTGGATGGTAATAAAAATAGAATAAAAAAATACTGGATTAGCATCTACACAATATTTAAAGAAAAAAGAAATAAAATCAAGGAATATTTCATACTTTTGTCTGATAAAAATATTTTGAAAAGTCATGGTTTCAATATCGTGAAAAAAGACAGTCCTAACTTTCACAATACTCTGTAAGAAAAACAGAATATTTAACTCCAGAATGTAATTTATTGCTGATGTTTAGGCCTATGGGCAAATTGATATTGATCTTTGTGACATTTTAATACTTGTTTTGTCTCGAGGCCGTGACCGACTTGCATAAACTTCGGGACAGGATGTTATTATATTTCAAATTAACTTTACTAATATATTCACAGGTCAAAGGTCATTTTCCTTTTTTTTTTTTCAAATATTTTTTTATTTATTACCTACAAAGGAATATTTATATCAAAACTTTCAGTGGGTGACTGAGAAGAAAATATCAGCTTTTGAAATGAAAATACTGTAGGTGCTTTTAAAAACGATGACAGTATTGATAATTTTTCCTCATTAAAATTCCAGTTAGAAAATTACCCGAAAAATTATTCAGTATATTTTTCCAATTACCAAAAACCTTTTTTAATGAGGTCAAGATTTTTTTTTTTAACAGGGAAATTTAAATGAAAGTAGAAATGATGAGCAACAACACCACTGAATCTGGTACAAAATGTAATGTTTGATTGACATCCTAAGTGCTGACATGCTTTGGCCAAAGGGAGGCCGTCTTCAGTTACACAGTTACATGATGTTTGCAACTATGGTACAATAACAATGAGTGAAATTTAAAGTTGAATCTGCAGAAATGTAAATATACTTGGCAGTTCAATATTTACATCAGGCAATCAAGATATCAGTTTTGCCTAAAAATACCTTTGACAGGTAGATAACAATAAAAAGGTTAAGGACAATTTGGATTTAAAAACTTCCTTCTTTTTAATTCGCTATTATGCTAGCCCAGGGGTCGTCAAGTATCTTAGAAATTGAGCGAAATAGATACTACATGTTTATATTTCATAATTTCATTGACCTTTATAAGCCAAGAACCTTTTATTTCCGAAAATAGTAATAATTTTATCATCTAATTATAGAAATGTGAGAGTTGATTTCTTATTGATTTGTGCAAGGATTCCTTTATATCAAGTCAAATATATGTGATTGTTTGTTTAATTAATTTAGTTGTCAACTGTAATTGTAACTGCTACAGATGTTTATAAATCATGAAAGTTTAATGAACTTCTAAATTTATTAAATTGGTATACAAGCTAGCCAAATGTGATGTCAAAACAGGACAAAAATCATGGTTGAAATATTAAAACGCAATATTCTAGTGAAATATATAATTTATCATTTTGAAAGTTTTAATTTTTTATGAAACAATATTTAAGTGATTATTTGGTAAAATTTGTTTAAACTTATCTTATAAGTGTGGAAAATATCTACCTTTAAATATGATATTTCACAAAATGCACACATATTAAATATTGGACAGGGGAAGCTACAGAAAGACTAGATGACAGTTATATATGGTTTTGCTAATGATTGGAAGAGGAACAGTGTGTTATTTATCGGAAATACAGTAAATTGTATCAACAATTTATTACATTTAGACGTCTATGTGGCAACAGATGTCTGTCACCGATCGTTCAGACATTAATACCATCGCAGAGTAGTGTTTTAAAATTAGCACTCAATGTTAGTCATATACAAATTATCAACAACAGCTGTAGGTCATAATTTTCATAATTCAGGTAAAATTTCCACTTTGTAACAGAAATGTACTTCGAAGTATGATGCAAAAATTGATTTGTAAATATTAATGGGACTTCTCGTAATATCTTCCACATCAGAATTACAGAGAAAAAAGAAAAGCAGACAAATAATTTCTGGGTGTGTCATAATAATTATGATAAAATCTTTTATAAATTTATTTATTTATTTAAAAAAAAAAAAAAAAAAAATTTAGTTGATTAGGGATCGAAATAATAAAATGCTAACACTATTATAAAACTTTCGTGATTGGTACAAAACTTGACCTTTGACACCATGTATAATTGAAATCACTGATGATAGTGCAATGCATTGTAGATTTCAAGGAAATTGACATCAGCGTTAATTTCAATAAGACAGAAACCGATTGATATTTCTTAACCAAATCCTTTTTTTAGAGAGTTCATTTTATACAGGTTTTCTAAATAGGTTTAATTTATAATAAGATATTTAAGCATTGGGACCAATAATTAAAAATTTCTTTTGCATATATGTATATTTGTTTATTAAGCTATGATTTATAAATCCATTTCAATAATATATGATGCATTCTGTTTACCAAAATGAAAGTCATACATTTCATTATTTCATACATTTTTTTTTTTAGATATATTTAGAATATATCTTGTGAAGTAATTAATTCAGTGAAATTATGATGTTAAGAAAAAATTCTTATAAATTTAAATTGATGTTTTAGTAATGTACAAACGGAATGCCTAAAATGTTTTTATGCTTAATATGAATGATTCACAAAAATTAAGGATATGTGCAGTAATTCTGAGTATTTGTCATGCAAAATCGTTAATTAAGTGCTAAAGTACATGATATTTCCTTGTCTGACTAAGCATTGTGCATCATAACATTGAATACTTGGTCAGGGGTCAGCATAACTGACCAGTGGACATTTGCTGGACATCAAGCGTCCGCCATGGACATAAAAATCATGTAGTGGCCGTCTCGGACCATTGAAGCCAGACGTGAGTTGTCACCGTTTACGAGGTGCCAATCATTTAGTTTCTCACTATCTACCCATTAACTAGCAATTATGCTGTCAGACTTATGGAGTCTCGATATCTTGGACGGAAAGTCCTCATTGTTTTTGCCTTTGAAATCAGAATTCCTTAGAACTTGTTTTTTGCTTAAACACACTCAATTTATTCCAGAAAGCACCTTAAATTAATAATAATATTTATTGTTTAAAGATTTTTGCCACACAGTTTTTTCCTCTGTAAAAAAATTGAAAGGTTAATGATTCTGTGACATCCCATTATGGGATGATATCGATTTATGAATAAATGAAAATATCAGTTCATTTTTTCTGTCATTTAAAACTTTACTGTTCTAATAAAAACTTTTTTTTTTTTTTTTGCTGCGTTTGAAACCAATGTAAAAATGATATGCTCTAGATTTAGTTTTTTTTTATATAAAACTTCATTTCTTAACAAGATTTTGTTAAACTCGAAAGTCAGGTATGGAAGTTTGTTGAATGAGTTTGAATTTCAGGGTTCGAAGGTCAAGGCCAGTTATCCCCGTTACTATAGAAATTTGTCGAACAATGACCCCAGTTTGCACAGGAGCAGGGGCGTTAATGTCTTATCGGTGTTTTTCAATTTTTGTTTTTTGAACATTTTCTAAATAATTTTCTCTGTTTTGTGTTTCATAGGCGAGACAAGCGAAGGCCATGGAAGCAATTTCTAATCTGGAGATCCCCGGAGAGCTGGCCTACATCTACAGCAAACTGGACGGTAAGTCACATGTCTGTAGTCTATAGCGCTCCCTTAGTCTGTCTTCCTCAGTGAGGACTCAACTGGTGATGAAAGACCACCTGTCAATTATGATCACCTGTCTAAACTACCCTGTATATAAAGATGACCTTTATATAAAGATCACTGTCAATATAGACCACCTGTATATAAAGACCACTTTTTTTTTTTTACGAAGATCACTGTAAAAAAAAAGACGATCTGTATAAAAAGATCACTGTCAATAAAGACCACTGTCAATAAAGACCACTGTCAATAAAGACCACTGTCAATAAAGACCCCCTGTATAAAAAGACCCCTTCTTTTTTTTTACGAAGATCACTGTAAAAAAAAAAGACGATCTGTATACAAAGATCACTGTCAATAAAGACCACTGTCAATAAAGACCACCTGTATATAACAACCACCTGTCCATGAAGACCATATGTTCTTGAATGCTTTTATTCTTATCTTTAATGTAACAGCTGAGAAAAAGCTACTGAACATTTGTTTTCACACTAAAAACAATATGAAAAGATTTTTTTTTATTCCAAAATTTCCTTGCTTGCAGACTGGCAGTCGGTACACACCGAACGTCATATTGGACCGGTAACTGACCCGGTAGCTCATTTGGATCAAAAGTACCAGCTTCCGATGGACGTCGATTCGCACGTATTCAGCAAATTCGCCAACATTTACTTCAGGGTAAGTCGAATAGCACACACTACGCTCAGTCATACAAAATGGATGCAAACCACACTAAACGTCTTGATCCCGGAAAGATGTATGTTGGAGTTAGGTTTCGGTTTTTGACAGCAGCATGATGCACTTTTTTATCCATATCAGGATATGTGTATTTTGACGATTGGCTTACCAGAGATGTCCATAGTACTTGGACCAAACTGCATAAACAACATCAAGAAAAGAGATTGCGATTGTTATACTGGAGATGTCGGATCAATTAAGGGTTTTTTCATTGTCTAGAGGACTCCTACAAAATCCTTCAACCCGGAAGGGGGATTCCATATTCGTCACATCATACAGACACACAGAATGACATCTACTAATTATTCTAATCCTGAAAGGGGGGGGGGGGCTCAGCATTTATTGCCTTATATGGTCATACAGATATCGTCGACAAAATCTTGCAATCTTGAAGGGGGTCCGCAATGGCCACCGCATACAGGGATGCAGATTATTTGCCTCGTACAGTCATACCCTACAGTCATACTGTTACCCCAATATGTTATGAAATTGAAGGCTATTGACAATACTAATCCATTTCAGAATGATCAAGATTTTTTCAAAATGCATGAAAAAATAACCAATTATCACTGTTTTTACAATGATTCTAGCATAAATGAACTAGAATCTGGATAACCTTACCTTGTTATGAGTATTTAGTTGGTATTTTGTCATTTCGCTGCCGTAAATATTTATTTTACTGGCAGCGATGTGCAGAAGGGTTCTTCTCTGACAACCTAGGCTTTTCTTATAAAAACTAGAAAGAATATTCTAATGGGGAAAGAGGTTAGTGATTTTTCTACCCCTTTTCTCCACGGGCCTGTGCCCTTTTTGCTTTGAGAAAATATCACCCACAAAAAGCATGATTTTTTTTGGGGAAAAAGTAATTTTTGCATTGATTTTAGGAAAGTACAGCAATTTATTCAAGGAAAGGGGGCCTTATTCCAGCTCCAAAATGACTTTAGAAAAATTATGGAAGGCCCAGGGGAAAAAAATGTTTTGATCAAAATTAAGTGTTGTTAATGATGGTTCCAGGTTCAAACCCACCCAGTAAGTATATATATATCAAAAAGTAGAAAACTGGTTTATGGACAAACAAATACTTGGTATTTCCGGCACTGCATGTCATGATTTTGTATGTACATGTATATCTTAATGATTGCTGGTTTAGAAAAGTAGAAAATGTATGTATGAACTTTTTATGTATTCATGAACTTTCTTTGATACGTTAAACTTCTCAAACTGGTTTTTCGGACAATTATACTTTCAACAGAAAACTTTGCATGACAATTGAATTACAAAAAATAATATAAAATAATTTAAATCCAACTTTCAGTAAGAAACATAGATTTGCTATCTGTCTTCCACTCTCCCCATATCATAAGCATTTAATAAAAATATTGCCATAATGTAGAAATTTTGGTTGGTGAATTCATGTTTACATACTGAAATAGTCTTGAATAGATTAATTCTCCTTTTACAAAAAAATAAATAAAAAAAAAATAAAAAAAATAGCAATAACAAAAAATATGACTGAAAAAAGTTCTACCTGGAATATGAATATTTCAGACACATTAATTTTCAGTTTCCATGAAAATGCATTTAATAAGCTCCACAAAACTTAAAAAAAAAAAATAATAATACAACAAATACGGTAATTATGTGTGACACTTGGAAATTGACGTGGTGGAATGACATCCTAAGTTGGAATATCGGTACTGCATGAATGAATGTTTGCATGTTGGTGATTTCAGAATCCCGATTGGGGCGTTCTTAAGGCTCCGATAAAGGCGGGGCTCACTCAGCTCCAGGGGGAGGACCTCAACAATCGCGCGGTGTCTGTCTTCAAAATGGTGGGTATCATGTGCTTGTAGATCACTGAATGTGAATGTTGTCTTGAAAATCTCGACCCAAATATGAAAAAATATTTTTCAGGGCCTCTAGATCTGTGCATTTGAAAAGTGTTGGGGCTAGCTTTCTTAAAATATTAAAAGCTGTATTTAATCCCAAATATGGAAGTGGTGAATTGCTATTATAGTAACTCCTGTCTAAACCGAAACAGCAACGAGAACCAAAGAATTATTTGGAATATACAGATCACCTGATTACACAGGTTATATAAGCAGTGTGAAAACTGATAAAAAGTCTGGTTTATACAGGTTTTTAGGTTTAGTCGGAGTTCAGTTTAGACAGGTTGTTATGTTTATAAGGAATGATCCTATTATTTTTTATGTATGCATTTTTCACAAAGTACCATACCGTATTCATCCTCAAATAAGCCCAGGGGATTAACACATAATCTGTGACTCAAAGCAGGGAGGTAGAGTGATCATATTATTGCCTGGCATTTTTACTGAATTGCAACTATATATGGGTGGGCTTATTACCAGGCATAGGCTTATTGCCGAACAAATATTGCATTGCAAACATCTTTACTATCACGAATAATGCTGCAGTTTGAAGATATGTATTCTGCAGAATGAAATTGGTTTCTAATCATACAGAATATTTTTACCAACTGTCTTTCCTGCTGGTGTAAGTATATATATCTGGGTCAATTTTTAAGACAAGAAAAAAGTAAAAATTTAAGCAACAGAACTTATTGGAATGCATTTCAGGTCATGTTAATCCATGACTTGATATTAGATTTCAGACAGAAATAATTAAAAAATCAAAATGTATTCATTTTCGTGTCACTTAGATTTTAAAATCATTATGTGGAATTTAAGAAATTCAGTATTTATAATAAAATTGTTATTTCTCTTGAAGATTTTACGATACATGGGAGATCCCCACCTGAGTAAGAGGAGAGAAAAGGCAATGGCTGACTATATCGTACTGATGGTAAGTCGCTTACACAGGGCACACAGGTTTTGTCCTCCATTAGAGAGACAGACAGATGAATACAGTTTTCAGCACATCTGTCTATTCATGGCTCCAGACAAATTGCAGGAATATGTTATCATACATGAGAAGACACTCAGTTTTGTAGGAAGTCATCTGATGTTTTACTCTGAGAATTTTAAACTCCCTCTAAAAGTCAGAATTTCCTTACAGTTGGCTGTAATGTTAAAATTCCTAATTATTTGAAATCCAGTTTATAAGCAATTAAGTTATTTTCTTCTTGGATCAATGGTAATTACATGAACCAATTTAATTTATGAGTACTGCTCAAAAGAAATGAAATAATGATACAATTGCTGAGCATGAAGATTAGGATACACATATGCTACCAGGATACCTTGGGATCTTATTTCATATACTTATGCTTATATATTTAATGAAAACATTTTGCCATGTTGCTTAAAGAACAGGTCTTCTGAGCCTCTTGTCTTTTTTATGATTTTATAATTGTGACACGTCTGTTTTGTTTCTGCGACACAGGGTCTGAACAACGAAGGACTTCGAGATGAGATTTACTGTCAGGTGGCGAACCAGTGTTGGAACAACCAGGACCTCACCGCCATAGGACGGGCCTGGTGTCTGATGGCTGCGTGCCTCAGTGCCTTCCCACCCAGCGAAAAACTCTTCAAATACCTACTGAAGTATGTACAATATCATAAAGACATCAGCAATCATGTTGTTTCCTCGTTCACTTGAGGATGTGAAAAGAAAATTATTCAATGAAAAAAATGTGGTTGAATGCCATCCTTGCTGCTTCAGTGTGAAAAATGTCTGAATATTAAAATTATTTGATAGTTTTCCATGTGATGTCTGCAGTCTTGTTACGAAAATTTCCATTATGATACAAACTTTTTTTTTATTTCACAACAATTATGATATAAGTTATTTCAACTTGTATTAATCACTCTTTTTGGCCTGGATGTTAGGGTGCGGGGGGTCTTATTGTGGGAGGAAACTGGAGTACCCGGAGAAAACCTATTGAGGATACACCTATAATGTATATTACATTGTATGTTACTTAAATTTTCTCCAGGTTTGTTTCGGACGTTGGGTACAACGGCCATAAGATAACTTGCCAACACAAGGCGCTTCAGTGTGCCAAAATGCAGCCCCAGTTAAGCCGCAGTTATCCCCCCTGTTTACTGGAGTGGCACGCCATTTTGCAGTGTACAAACATGGCGCTACCTGTTAAGTTTGCCGATAGTAAGTATATTATATTCATAATAATAATAAGATAAGCTTTATAGTTCATAACACTTTGAGCCCTAAACTCTTTTGATAAGTGATTGACATGAAATGTATAGTATTTACCGACCTTCGTGTTGTAGACTTTGGAAAAGTTTCATTGACGTTTTTTTCCTTAAGACCATAAAAAGGTGTCATTTTGAACTAAATCTATAGTGAATTTGATGCAGATTTGCAGTAATGTCAATTCAAGAATAGATGATTATTCATTTTTGTGTTAAAAATCAATATTTTTCGAGGTTTTACTTTTTAAAACTCCATTTTAGCAAAAATATTCACTAATTCAAACTCTGTCAGAAATTTTGTTCTATACTCAATGGTGTTAAGGCTGTGACAACAAATTTGCATCAAAAGCCTACATAATTAGAAAAAATGGAATTAAACAAAAATAAATTCATTGATGATGCTGCAATATATATATGATCGACATTAACTGTTCTTCTCCAATTCAAGACAAGTGGTGTTTTAATTCCCAAAAAAACTTGGGCGTGCAAAGACGACTGAACAAACATATTTATAAATAAACTTAAAAGTTGAATCTCGTCAAGAGACTTTCCCTATCAAACAACCCTCTTAGCATCTTAAATCCTTGCTCAGGGACCACTTCGAGCCTTCCTTGGGTTGGTCTCTTAATAAAGATTAGATTGTGTGTGGAAAAAAAAGAAGAAGAAATAAAATGATTTAACTCTGCAACTTTTTATTTAGATGTAAGAATGTACGGACCTGTGGAGTCATGGACGTCCGGAGAAATCTTCACAAGTCATCTCGTCAGCAGTCGGTACGCCGTTCTTCTACGAATTCTGCAATCAGATGTCAAATAACAGCTTTATAGATCAAACTTTGTTGTTTTAAAACACATTTTTAAAGAAATTTTCATAAAAGCATGAACTTGCTGTAAATGGAGACATATTTTTATCATACATTCTTCCTGGAACAAGACTGAATTCAAGACAGGGTCAAAAAATTTAAATTTTGAAATTCTCTTAAGATACAATATATCAAAGAACATGAATTTCACTATAACACTTGTGTTAACCGATTATTCCAATAGTACCGTATTTATCCTGCAATAAGCCCAGGGGTCACCATATAATCTATTATAAAGGAACTTGAAAAGCTTAATATATTTTGTAATTTGAACTTAAAATAGATTACTGACATTTTTTATAAAAGTAGTCACTGTATGAGACCAAAAGTGAGTTCACTTGAACTTAATAATTGGTGACATTTGTCTTCATCTTTTCCAGGGGCCTGAAGGAAAATAAATTCGGCTGGACGGTGGTACTTCAGGAGGAGACCGATTTTTACGAGTTGATGGGATATGACTACGTCCTTGACCTTCTCAGCGAGATGGAAATTCCCCCAGGGTTCCCTGCCAAGCCTGCCTACTTCCTTGTGTCACGAGACAAGATGCGGGAACCAGTTGGGGTCGTACATCGTCTGTACAAGGACTCGTGAGTATCCACAAGTCTATAATTAATCAGTAGTGAAAATCGTAACATTGCGATATAAAAGAAAAGACTTCAGTTATACCCAATAGTATTATTTGTTTTATAGTGTGACCTTACATAGTAGCTTGACATTATAAAATCACTTGTGTTAATTTGGTATTTCTATCGTACATATTTTGTTACCGTACAACTCGGTTTTATATAATGTGATAACTTTACCAAAAATGGCAGCGTTTCCTGATATGACATTGTTGCTTTAAATTTTACTTTGATTGTATATCATAGTTTTGCTGTATGTGGTAATATAACCAAAATGACATAATATTTCCTTATTATCACTTAACACTTTTTATGCTAGTTTTATACTGTTTGATATTTTTAACAAATACCGTACTTATCCTGCAAGAAGCCCAGGGGGGACCAACACATTATCTCTGACTCATAATGGGGGTTTGGAGAGGGGGGGGGGGCTTACTTCAGAACAATGAAATAATATTTAATGGCATTTCTACTGAAATGCAGTAGCTATGGGTGGGCTAATTACCAGGCATGGGCTTATTGCTGGATAAATGTCATAAACAGCGTAGACAATGATTTTGTATGCTTGCAGACCGCACAGTGTTGACAAGGACAGGTTCATGGTGCTAATGGGAAGACTTCCAGAAATGTTGAAGGTTGAAGCACCACGACTAGAAAACCGAACATTCACACCACGCACAAAAGAGAATGACGACGAAAAGAAAATAGAATTTTCGATGACAAGTGCACTCAACCGACGTCCGACTGAGATCATGCTGGATGGTCTGTCTGCAAATTCTGTTCTGAATCTGCGATACACGAAACGGAAAGCTCCAGGACCGCCGCCATCGGTCACGAGTAACGGTCATAACGGACACCATGTGACAAATGGTCTCAGCAATGGGCACATAACTCCAATCTTGGAGGACGAAGGTGCCGATTTCGGATTGGCGGGATCTAAATTAAATCAAAGGTACAATAATGGATTACCTAACGGAACGCCACGTATACAGGATTTAAGCTCTACGTCCAAACTGAATGCTAGATATACGAAATCGTCAGCGGTGGCGAAAAGGATGAAAAACGGAGCCGCGGATAGGATTTCCAGAAGGGACCATGGTTTGGAAAAAATGTCAGCATCATCAGACAATATGTCAGTGGGGACTGGGCAGGAATCCGATTGGTCTCACTGGGTCGAGAATGTGTTCAACAGCGCACTCAATGAGCATGTTGATACGCTGAGTGACGCACGGTCGATGGAAAACCGCCTGAAAGGTGGGGGTAAGGGTGTCCCCGGTCCGGGGATGCAGCCTCCCCCCGCACCCCCTCTGTCACTCCCTCTAATGAGCAATGTGAACGTACTGCCAGTAGGGGGAGCCACTGGGCTAGGATCTCCACCATCCACGGCACAAGGTAGCACAGGTAAGGGAGATAACTCTTTTTTTTATTCAACGCATAACAACCAAGTCCCTTGAAAGCTTCAGTTAGATTAAGATGCATGACTTTTTGCAAGGCTGGTAACATACATGGGTTGTTGTTTTTTCATGATGATCTGATTTTGTTGCAATTTTTTCTGCCGAAAAATACAACACCATGAAATTGTAGAAAATTATTGCATCGTTATCTTAGCATTTTCTACCATTGTTACAAGACTGAAAAAAGATGTGGAAAAAAACCCATTGTTACAAGACTGAAAAAAGATGTGGAAAAAAAAGATCCTATTGAATTGACAATTCAGAAAATTCGCAAAAATAAGGGGGCATAAAAAGATATACTTTTACAGTAATTCTAAAGTTTTGTCTGAATATATATTTTTAGACATCCTTCTTTGTGGTCTGTGTTGACCTATTTTCTCATTTACGGTTTATTTCGACAGACACCCTGATGCAACAGATTCAACAACAGTTGGCGGTCCAACAGATGGCGCAACAGCAGGCCCAGCAACAGGCCCTCGTGCAGGCGTACCTAAGTCAGATGGTACGTAAAACCAGTAATCTCTTATTAGTTATTAATTATGAATTTCATTTTGATTCATGGGATGCTTCGTTCAATTAATTATAGCCAAAAAACAATTTATAAAACAGTTATGTCACTAACACATAAGTTATTAGGGTAAAATACTGAATTTCGTGAATATATTTTTCTGAATTTTGCTTCAAATTCAAATTGCCAGATGAGCTCTATGATAAATGATTTTGTTTTGTTTTATCCTGGATGATTTTTTTTGTATTTTGTTTTAAGAACCAATTACAAGCCCAAGCTCAAGTTCAGGCCCAGGCTCAGATGCAAAACCAGGCAGCTCGGCAACAACAACAACAACAAGCCCTGTTTCAGTCGGCACAACAACAGGGCTTACAACAGCAGTTCTTACAGGCAGGCTTAGGAGGTGTCAACGGGGTACCTGGCCTACCTGGGCTGGGGGTCCCCAACGGAATGGTACCGAACATTGTGAGCCCCGGTTCCAGTATGAACTCTGTGGGACCTTCCCCATTTATGACTCCCAGGGAACAGCCGGTGAACGGCTCCGTAGCATCTTCATTTAGTACTACACAAATGTTGCCGGTGGCAGGCATCAACACAACTCAGACAAATGTAGGGGGCGTGCCAAAGAAAGTGTATAAAATACGGACACAATTTGAGGGTCGCACCGAGACCAACGAGTTCAAACCGGCTGAGCACATTCCACCCCTCATTACAGCCAATCACGACAAAAGTCTACAGATCACTGAACAAAACTCAGAAAGTGAGAGTCATAAAGTGCGACAAATGACGCTCCCCACGCTTCATCCCCCACCCCCTCCAGCTTTCCAGGATCAGTCTCTTGTCAGTCCCAGAATGCCAGCCATGCCGCCAGCACCGCCTCCACTGCCAGAGATACCCTTAAACGGCGACTCATTTAACAGGGAGGACGGCACATTCACCTTCACAGATAAAAAGGGCCGTGCAAGAACTGTAAGAATCGGCCGTGTAGTGTGGCCTCCGCCAGTGGAAAAAGAATCCAAGTCACGCCCAAATGTGGGCCGACTCGAAATTGACGAGGGCGTGGCTAGCTCTATCGAGGAGCAAGTTGGTGCTCGTACACAGCAGAAGAAACCGGCACCGGCACCACCCCCTCCACCACAAAAGGTTGGTCTTCATGAGTCATAGTTGCAAAAGTGTTTCATTCATTGGTACATATTGCTATTCATTTCAAGCATAATTATGATTGACCCTGACATTTAAAGAAAAGTAACCCATTACAGTTTTATACAATTTTTAGCAGACCTGGCCTGAAGGGCCAAGTGAGCTTATGCTGTGGTGCAGTGTCCGGCATTAATTTTTTACTTTAAACAACTTCTTCTTAATAACCACAAAGCCTAGGGTGATGATATTTTTTGCCAATAGCATGCTCAAATAAAGGGCTACCAAGTTTGTTCAAATGAATGACCTTCACTTGTATTCAAGGTCACAGGGGTCAATTGTCTAAAAAGAACTTTAAACTTCTTCTGAATAACCAAAATAACTAGAATGTTGATATTTTGTGAAGAGCATGCTAGGATGAAGGACTACCAAGTTTGTTTAAATGAATGATCTTGATTTTCAAGGTCATAGGGGTCAAATATGTTTAAAATCTTTAAACAACTTCTTTTGAATAACCAAAAAGCCCAGGATGTTGATATTTGGCCAGTGGCATGCTAAGATAAAGGGCTACTAAGTTTGTTCAAATGAATGACCTTGAATTATATTCAAAGTCGAGGGGGTCGAATATGTTTAAAATCTTCAAACAACTTCTTCTGAATAACCATAAAGTTCAGAATGTTGATATTTGGTCATTAGCATGCTTGGATGAAGGGCTACAAAGTTTGTTTAAATGAATGACCTTGAATATGTTTAAAATCTTAAAACAACTTTTTTTGAATAACCAAAAGGCCCAGGGTGATGATATATAGCCTGGAACAGGCTGGAATGAAGGGCTACTAAATTAGTTAAAATGAATGATCTTGACTTATATTCAAGGTCTAAGGGGTCAAATATGTTTAAAATCTTTTAACAACTTTTCCTGAATAACCATAATGCAAGGAATGTTGATATTTGGCCAGTAGCATGCTTGGATGAAGGATTACCAACTTGATTAAAACGAATGACCTTGAAATATCTTTATAACCTTTAAACAACTTCTTTTGAATAACCAAAAAGTCAAAATGTTGATATTTGGCCAGTAGCATGCTTTGATGAAGGGCTATCAAGTGTTTTCATTTGAATGACCTTGACCCACCTTCAAGGTCTTATTTGGTCAAATGTGTATAAACCTGTAGATGACATAACCTCAATAAACAAAAGGTCTAGGGTGGTGATATTTGGCAAGTCGTATGCTGAGATTAAGGGCTATCAAGTTTGTTCATTATAATGACCTTGGTAGACTTTCAATGTCACAGGGGTCAAATGCGTTTAAATCTTTTAACAGGCTCTTTTGAATGACTTAGTCATAAATACTGACATTTTGCCAGAAGCTTTATTTTAGTCGACTTTTAAGGTTATAAGTGTGAGATTAATACCAGGTGAGTAATGCAGGCCCATTGGGCCTCTCGTTTGTTACCATTTTAATCTTTTTATTTTTTTGCCATAGTTCAGAATAAGAGATTTAGTGAAAACAAAATCTTTTTTTTTTGTATAAAAGGGTAAAGTTTTCTTGCTATAACTCTGGAAAGCCCCATTAAAAAATGATAGCAGAAGGACTGTGCAGGCCTAGTCAACAGTGAAAGTTAATTAAGTAATGTTGATGGTTTCCCAATAACTGTTTCAGCATGAACCGGTCAAGTCAACCAAGTCTCTCACAGAGTCTGTTCATCTTGCCACTCTCCAACTGTTGGAGCAGAAACTTGGAGCCAAGAGAGCGACCCCGCCTCCATGTAAGTAAAGATAATGAACATTCCTTTGTATGGAGACCATTCTAGGCCATGAATATGCCCACAGAAATATTTATCACATATAAGGCCGTTTTTCTTTCGTTTGTCATACATTTTGTAAAACCCAACCATTTTTTAAAAAATCTACTTTTTTTTGCCAAAAAGAAAATGACTACCAAGTATTATAGGCCTCCATCTTGAAATAGTCGGTGTAAATGAAAGTTTTATTTTGATGTCAGCAGCCCCTCCACCACTACCCAAGACCCTCCCCCCAGTCACACCGCCCCCTACGCAGCCAGTCCTGGTAACCAAGGTGATTGAAGTGGCGCCTCCTCCTCCTCCTCCGAAGAAAGAGAAGAAGATGAATATTGACTTCTCCTCACTGGAGCGTGTGGTGTGTCGGCTCTACCCACAGGGCAAGGAAAGTTATCTAACCTACAACAGTGTGCCCTGGTCACTCAACGTCCGCAAAGAGGTCAGTTTACCATCATTCCCAATATGACTCGAGTACGGTCAGACAATTTTTAAACATGATTTAGTGTAAGGCACTTTTGAAGATAACATCTATATAAAATATTAATGTCAAGAAAAAAACTTTTTCTTAAAACTGGTATCAGTAGGATGTTTGAAAATCATGACTTTTTTAATTTACCTTAAAAAAAACAAGGAGGACTATAAAATGGTACTGTATACTGAGAATTCTTTGCCGATCGAGTCAAACTTTCGCCCTTCGGGTAAACAAATCTTCATATCTCCCTCAGATGAATGCAATACATGTAATAATATACAGGGTTCTCAAACATAATGAAATATATGAAAGTTTTAGCCACTAATATATACATAGTGAAAATGAAAATATAGAGGAAAACTGGAAAAGACAATACCCGGTAGCAAAATAATTAAACAAAAATTGGATAGATGACATGTGAATATTGGTTATACTCATCCCCAACCAAACATAGTCCATAACTAGTATTGTGATTCTTTTACTGTCTGTATCCACAGGTGTTCCACCCACGAGAGCGCCTGGAGAATGTCGACGCCCTCCATATCATCTTCTGTCAGGTGGTACAGGACGTTTACAACCTCGGGTGCATTCGCATCGGCAAGGATGAACGTATAAAGATGAGGGGCATGCTGGGTAAGGGCAGACATTTTGTTCTGGCAGGGACAGCCATTGTTTTGTTTCTTTTGAATGCTTATGGTGTATCTGATTGATTGTACTGCAAATGAAACAGCTGAAAATCTTACTTATCGTAAATCAAAAACCTCTTATATTATGGGATGTAAGATATTGTGTTCATGCATGGTCATATAATCTTCATTAATTGTATGTAAGATTTTTTGTTATGGATGTCACCCTGGTAAAATACTAGCTGCCTCTTACCGACTCCGCTAGGGAGAAACTCTCTTTAGCTCATTCGGTAGAGCGTTACACTAGTAAGCCAGAGGTCCGGGGTTCGCCTCCTAGTGGAGACATTTAAAAAAAAATATGATCTCTGTTACATGGAATACGATTTTGTTCATGGGATCTTAAGATTTTTATTCAAGATGAATAACAATTTCATTCTTTAAAAAGTCATTGGATAAGATCTCTTTTCTTGAGGAATTCAGATTTTCATCAATTGAATACAATATTGATTTACGTTCACAGAGAATTACGGAATAAATAGAACAAACTACCAGACTGGTGACTTCTCCAATCAAGTGAAGAAGATCGTCGTGGACACAGCCAAAGAGTGGGGGGCATATTTCTCTCGCCTCTTCCCTGTTGCAGTAAGTTGATGACCAGTAGCTTGTCTGAAGTATATACAGTATATCCATATTATAAGGAAAACTTCGAATGATGTAAGCTTTCGACACCATCTTAGGACCTTTCCCAACTCAGGTTCAACACTGATGTTTGTCAAGGGATCGTAGAACACAGATCTGTGACGACATTTTGTCTTATGACGCTCATGACCATAGAGAGACATGTGACATGCGTCAGCAAGTATCGTTCTTAACATAAAACAAAACATCGAAATGTTGCCAAAAGATTTTGGGATTCAAAACTGTCATGTTCAGATTGGTGAATCTTGCATGAATTTCATATTTGTTCAACAGTTTTTGACATCATGATTTAATTTATTTAAACAGTTTGAAATATTAAAACGCTTAACTGCCATTTTTATTTCCTGCAATATGTACAGTATTTATATCCTGTAATAAGCCCATGTGGCCAATATCAAATGTCTGACTCAGTGGGAGGATGGGCTTATAACGGAACAGTGAAACAGCATCGGTTGGCATTTCTACTGAATTGCAATAAATATGGGTGGGGTTATTACCAGGCATGGGCTTATTGCCGGATAAGTACATACAGTAGGAAACCTAGATCTATATTTAGATCAAGGTCTGTTAAGTGCCTGTGTATTTTCCCACAATGGTCAACCCTTCCAACACTGTAGACCATAATGGACTCATCCATATCAATTTATGGTAGAGTCTACTAAAGTTACATAGGGGTGAAAGCGTTAAAGTTTGTTTACAACTGGACATGACTAACATTATTCAAGTTTTCACGAATACGGAACCATGAATGTCAACAACGATTTCTATGAAGTCGATCTATACATGTTTAGGGCCAGTCAGAGAAAGGTACGGTGCGTTACATCGGTGTCAGCCATGCGGGGATCCGCCTCATCGACCGCGAGCAATCCATGGTCGACGACAACCTCGAAGTACTCGAACACTTCAAATTTGAGGACGTCATCGATATTGTCATGCCGACCAAGGACACAGTTCAGATTAACCTCAAAGACAAGTCCATGGTGTTCTACACAAATCGGGTAGGTAGACATGTAATTACTGATTAAAAAATCTGTATATCATTTCTAGAACGTTAAATATGATTGCCTTGTTTTAGGATATGATATTCTAAGACATATGATCATATGTCAGTGGTTCTTGTCAAACTTTTTCACAATATTTTGAGACTCCTCATCATTTAAAAAAAATAGAAATAATGTCGTGTATTTTCTTACCAGGTAATTATAAAAATGTGCCGTTCCCATGTTTTTCTTTTAATGTTATATCAGTAAAAGTCACGGACATAGTATAAGCAGCAAAGCAATGAATCCCAATTGATTGACTTTCTACAAATACAGTTTGCAAGTTCTTTCATTTAAAACCAACTTTTTTATATATATATATATATAGGTACTTGTACATGTATACTATGAGATTTTGATATATTCTGGACCGTTGTTGTAGGCACTGCAATTGAAACAGATGATTGACATGTACCTGACTGAAAGCGATAAGGTATGGTATATCTAACGATCTTTTTACCTTTAGTTAGCTCGGCGGAACTGTCTGTTGCGGGGTTCTAATTTTCGCAGTTTTTGAGACGATATCTTTCCTAAAAATATACATCCCACAAGATTCATAGAAATCAATCCATTCTTACTGTAGCACTATGTGTAGTAGACCTGAAATTGTTGAATAACAGATCCTGTGTAATTGAGTGTTTTATCAAATCTTCGAAAATTAGGGACCACAAAAAAAGATTTCCAAATAAGGTGCAGCATTTCTCTCTGATTATGACGAAATTACATTCATGCAGGTGCTTGATTTTACCAACAAAAATCTAATTAAGTATTTAAACTATTTTTATTAAAGACATATTTTGATTTTCCCTGCTATTCTCTCAAATATGTGCCGTATAATGTGACGTATGACTGGCTTCTACGTTGACAGGGTAACAAGTACGTCATAGCGACGAAGGACTACATCACAGGCGAATCCACGCTACTCAGCTTCAAGCGAAGCGAGATCATCAAGCTCGTTGATGCAGAAATTCCATTGGAAGATGGTGAGTGTTAGATTCTTGCAAAGTTTACTAAAGGAATAGTTTTCTGTTTTCATAGGGGTTTTGAGGTGTTAACTCCAGTGCAGCACTTCTACATTGAGTAGATGGCAAAGCCACCTGGAGTTAACAAAGTTTTTATTTTATACTTATTCTATTACAAGCAGGAGTTGTATGATGTTGCAGAAATTTATTATATGTTAGGGTTAATTTTATTTTTTTATCAAAATCAACTCCAGATACATCTATATATTTTGTATAAAATTAAATATTCAATTTAATTCAATTTTCGTCCAATCAAATTTTATAACTTATTTTTTTGCTTTACAGGTTGGCTGTATGGTTCGTTAAACGGTGTCCTTGGATACTTCCCAGCAGAATACGTCAAACCTCTACAAAGACACGAGGTCGAGAGGTCAGGGGGCATGAAGGTAACTGTCACTTACGATGGATTCTCTCCAGTTTTTTTTAGATTTCTAGGTATCATGATATCATTTTCATATAATATAATGCAAAATATGACATAGTGGGCAGTTGCATGTTGATCATTTATAAGATGAACCAAGGTCATGAGATTTCTTTGCATGGATACAGGATATGTCTTGATCAATCTCTTCAGCATCCTGTACACAGGTTAACAGTTATATGGTACCATTTAGGTAGTCAAGGTTACGTACAAAATGACCTTGGAAACCATGAGGTCAAGGTTACATTCAAATGACCTTGGAAACTATGAGGTCAAGGTTACTTACATATGACCTTAACAACCATGAGGTCAAGGTTACCTACAAATGACCTCGGCAACCATGAGGCAAAGGTTACTTACAAATGACCTAGGCAACCATGAGGTCAAGGTTACTTACAAATGACCTTGGCCACCATGAGGCAAAGGTTACTTACAAATGACCTTGGCAACCATGAGGTCAAGGTTACTTACAAATGACCTAGGCAACCATGAGGCAAAGGTTACTTACAAATGACCTAGGCAACCATGAGGTCAAGGTTACTTACAAATGACCTTGGCCATCCTGAGGTCAAGGTTACATACAAATAACCTAGACAACCATGAGGTCAAGGTCTTGCAATCACAAATGGTGTTTGCTGAATTATTAAAGTCATCATTTCACATTTGTTTTCTATCTTTGCAGGCCCAACTGACAGAGCATGTTGTCCACAGAATCATTCGACCTCCTAGCAGAGTGAGTAAATTACGTTTAAGTTTCGACATTTCTTGGACCATTTTTACGGAATTTAACGAAATTAAAAACTTACGCTAATTAGAGAAGCCACAGTAACTAAATTCATAAATCCTGAGAATTGGCAGTCAGTATTTATTTTGAATTTAAAAACAAAATTGATGATATTTTATTTTTTTTGTATGCGTTGTATTACAGACGGACGGTCACATAGACAACAGGAGCGAGACAAGTCAGGGTACCGTGGTTCCAGACGGTAAATTCTCCATGATGGAGTTCGCTCTCCTTCACTTCCGGGAGTCAGTCCAGAAGTACGTATTGTCGACGAAACTCTATGTGATAATGAGCTATTGTGAAATCAAACAATTTGAGTTCTTATTGACTTATTTCTGGTCACTTTATCTTATTTTCTCAAATGTTAACCATCACTCAGGAATGACTCGGATCATCCTTTGACAAACTTTGATCCTGGATGATGTGGTGTTTTCCTTCATGTTGCCTTTCTTTCTTTTTTTTGTGAGGAGGGGGGGGCCGGTTAAATCATCACTGACTGAAAAATACTTTTATGTATGAATAATATTCTCTTAGAGTTAAGGTTATATGCTTCCCGACACATAATGCCTGTGATTGAGTTACAGTTGTCTCCCTTAGCATGGCTTTAATGATCGTTATCTTACATTTGAGAATTACTGGGATGTACCAGTTAAATAAATCATCAATCGTTCAGGTCCAAGTTATCATTCATAAAAGTTATATCGAACTCTTTGGAAAAGGAGGTAAACATCACAAAGTGGCATACATCCATAATGCTATATTTTATGTGAAATCGCAAAATTTAAGTGATTTACAGCAGAGTCTTCATTATTGTTTATATTGTGGCCATTTTTCTTAACCGATGTTTTGGGAGTAAGAGGTTTGGCGAGGTTGGAGGGCAGGGGGGGGGGGATATGCAACTGAAAAGTGGTTCATTCTTGCCTGCATGCTGTACCAGTGTCCATCATTGTACGACCCACAAGGGAGGTAATTCCTTTAAGTAATCAACTGAAAGATGTTTAAACTAGAAAGATAATTATACAATAGTGATTTGATAGAGAAATACAAATTTGCATCAAGGAGAAAAGTACCTTACCAGAGTCAGAATTATATTTTTTTCTTTGTTTTTCTTGCAAAATTCAAGCATTGATATTAATTTTATTTTTTGTCAAAGAACTTTTCTTTTATTAAATATTGAAGTAGCAGTGTTACATTCAAAGAAAAGTTTTATTTAATTTAATTACCAAACTCATTTTCTTGTTAACCAGCCTACAGTTGACATAATGTTTGAATTAAGCTCTCATAACATATCTTATATATGCAAAGTTGTGATTGTATGAAAAAAATCTTAATTTTACAGGCGAGATCAAAGCAAATCATATAAACAAGGTAATAAGACAAACGGTCAGTTCTAGAGGTCAACTCTGAGGGGTCAGTGTCAGAGAGATTGACCCCAGTGACCTTTGACCTTTGTTGGGCGCACCAATAGTATACTGCTTTTGTACTGCATTAAGCATGCTTACTTTATACTGCATTGAAAACTGCCTCTGTCGGAGATAGTCATTTGCTCTGCTGGAACATGAATGCTGTTTGCGTATAATTCTGTCAATACGAGCGCTTATTTACTAAACTGTACTGTTGTGATAGATACTTGATGATGGCGGACAGTTTCTTAAAAAAATAAAAATAAAAAAAATAAGATAAAAATTCAAAATTGAATTTCCGAAATATATTTGTTCTGGTTTATATACAAACCTGTTACAGCTACTGTATGTAATGAATGTTTCTTGTTTTTTTTACGGTTTTCTTGAAATTTGTCTGCCATTATTGAAAATCCCTGCTGTACGGTTTGTGCATGATATTATTATTCAGGTGCCGTTTCTTTTCTTATTTTGACAGCCATTCATCTTTCATTGTTGTGATCTGAGCCCAATCAGAAACCGTTTTACTGCTTATTTGGTTATGTCAACTTTAATTCAAAATCTCAAAAACAAATGACAGCTGAATTTTGCTGATGATATGTTTGATTATTTTCAATTTCATCAAAATAAAAAAATAATTTTATTTTTTTTATTTTTTTATTAAGGACAAATTTTAGAAATACTGTCATTATATAATCACCACTGTCTGGAAACTGTGTTACTTTTAGTCAAAGATATTGAAATATAATACTATTTGACCTTACTGACCACAATAGGTGGTATTTTAGGGATATTGTGAAACCTGTCCAAACTGGACATATGCATTGTTTTGGATTAGACAGGTTTTCAGAGTGTACAGGTTCAATTTACATAGATAAAACTGTAGCCAATAGGACCTACTTAAAAGTGTCTTATTTATACAGGTTTTCAGAGTGTACAGGTTCAATTTACATATATAAAACTGTAGGCAATAGGACCTACTTAAAAGTGTCTTGTTTATACAGGTTTTCAGATGCAGTAATTAATCGGTTTCTGTTTGCGGCTCAAATTATCATTAAAAAATCATTCTATTCATTCCCCATATATACAAACAATTGTATATATATATATCGCACCCGTGCCTGTATCTGTTGTTTCCATAGTAACATGTTGTTATGGCTGCCGTCTGTTTGTTTAAAGGTTTGAGATGGAGAGATCAGAAGACGGGTCATTACGAGGAACAATCAAACATATAGAGAGCATCAAGCTTCGTAATCTGGACCAGCAAAACCTGCACCGCAGAGGTGACGGTCGCTTAGCCCCGCCCACTTACAAATATGTGTCCCCTATTCATGAAATTTCAGATCTGCCAATTGAAATTTCCAATGATCATGGGCCATATTGTGTTTCACTACTATTTATTGATTGATTTGACATACACTTAGCTCTGTTCACTTATTTTCCCAATCATATAGGCCTAACATATCACTAAGCTCCACCCACTAAGCTCCACCCACTAAGAGTCCAATGCTAACGTCTCATACACTTAGCCCCGCCTACTAATGGCCCAATACACTAAACCCTGCCACTAATGACCACACCTATTAATGGTCCCACACATTCAACCCAACCCACTTAACTGTTAGTGTCAAATACAGAAAAATGTTGTTCAGTCATTTAGATCAGAAACATGGAAATTAAAACATCATTTTTAAAATTTAAATTGACTTTTTTTCCATAGATAAAGTAAAGAAAAATGAAAAAAACAATATATTTTAGATTTAGATATATACATTGGTATATAGTAAACTTCCAACTTGGGTGAAAACGTTTCATATTAGTTGTGTAATAACAATAAACACAATTTTCTTGTTTCAAACTTGAGAGTTTTATATATTAAAATAGAATCGTTTGTAGTTGAATGTAAATATTTGTTGACTCCTGAAATCACTTTTGTTCTGCATTTGTTGTACTAACACTGCTTGCTTTGATGTTGTACTAATACTAACTTAACTCGAGTAGATTTGGTTTTATTTTCCTTTATCTGAGGGAAAACAAATTTTAACATGTGTGTGCTGTAATATCAATTACAGCATATAATCAAACTGTGATGTTTTGTTCCCTAGAGTTAGAAATGGTGTGATTTCCCCTTTTCTTATTTTATTAGTATGATATTGTTTGTGGTGGGTTTTTTCTTGAAAAAGAATGTTTAGTTTCAATCCTGTTCCTAGATTTTAAAAATATGCACAAAGTTAGATGGTTTAAGAATAATAAGTTTGATTTTATTAACTAGTAAGTAGTCATAAATAAGATTTGATTGACATCTTAGCCCACAAGACAATGACTTCATATTTTGCATAATGTTTGAGGCAATGGGCAAAATATAAAAATAAAATTAAAAAAATTGAGACCCTTTTTAGAGGCCCAATTGGAATCCAACGTATGAGTTTAAAATTATTATGAAATATTTTTGAATGTGTCGAAATAAATATAGTCGTAAGACCGTGGCTAATTCTCAACCTGAATGATGATAAAATGGACATCAGGCGAAACAGAAAATTTAATTTTACCCGTTGTCATTTCTACATACCTTGATTTACTCATTGTTTAATTAACCCTTTCACCACTGTGGACAATAATGGAATCATCCAGATCAATGCATGGTAGAGTCTACTAAAGTAACATAGGGGTGAAAAGGTTAATTAAGTCTGTGAGTTGTAATGTATGTTGTGTTGGGAACTGGAAATTTTCACCGTCATATTGAATTCAGATGCACCTCACCATAAATATCGCAAAAAATAACCCTGCATAGAGCAATCATAAATTATAATACAAACAGTTCCCTGAATATGTTTATGACAATTTAAAATACAAATATTAATATTCAGTACCAAGATAATTATGATTTCTAGTACAAAAATGACTATCGGAAATATCAACTACCCATGAGTTATTATACTTGTGTTCATTGAAACGTGTAGTTTGGTTCCGCCTGAGTCTTTATTTGAGATATCGTGTTACAGGTTCCGGTGAATGGTCATGGAAGGAACAAGCTGATATGGTCAAATGGACACGGGTGAGTGATCACATATACAAAACAAAAAAAACAAAAATACGATAAATAACAAAAATATGTTTTCAAAAATTTCAAATTTAAAGAAAACAAATCATTATCATTGAACAAGTATGGGGGGGGGGGAAATAATATTTTGTAATTTTGTGCCATTATTTTCTTTTTCAACCATTTTTTTTACATAGTGGACAAGGGTGAGTATTTTAAATACACATTTAGAAGTTTTTTTCTGTTTCTAATTTTTTTTTTATTATTAATTGAATATTTTGTTGTGATTTTACTCGGAGAACAAGAGTAATTACAAAAGATATTAAAAATTAAAACATTTAACATCTAGAATGGCTGTTAAATCTCTCATATCATCAAAACAACACTGTCAAATTTACTTTAAAAAAAAAAAAAAATCATAATGAAATCTTGAAGAATTTTGATTTAAATTATTGTGTGATGAGAAAAACTATTTTTTGTCTGAAGTTTAGCACATTTTGTTTTCTACAAAAGTATTTTTTTAATTATTTTATATCTTAATAATAAATATGACTTTTTAGCATAATTTTTATCAAAATTGAAGGTGTTTTTTTCAATCTACAAAGTACTCTATTCACTGCAGTGTTGAAAATTAAAAGAAAATTAAAAATATAATATGTTTTTTGATGGGATATTACTACTTGATATGAGTCCCATATCTGTTCAATCTTCTACATTTCCAACACTGATGCCAAATCTCAGTTATTTCATGATGTATACAAATTTGTGTAATCATAAAATTTAGTTAAAATTTAATTTACATTTCAGTCACCCATACAAGCGTCACTGCTGAAGCTGCCGACTGCTGAGTTCAACAAGCTTGCCTTGGAGTGCTTCCTCTGTGAGTCTTAATGATACGGATGGGAAACATTTCGCATTACCTCAAATAATAATCTCAAACATTCAGCAGAGCTGTCAAACTCCTTCATTAGGAGGGAGACTCCCTTATTTTGACAAAAAATCACCAACCTCCTCGAAACTCCCTCATTCAAGTCCAATTTACTCACACAAACTCGAAATCTACATCCTGTGGTCAAATGATCTCCTAGTTACTGCAGGGTGTGTGTAATGATCATGACAGGTGTGTTTGAATCAAATAAATGTTTTTTGGAGTTATTTTGGTACATAAAAAGGGAAAGATAAATTGAAATGGTCTGAAATTTGACCATTCACTGATGTTTGACCATGATTTCTGTAATGTCCAACTTGAGCTTCAGAGGTTAGACGGTTACTTATACCCATTGACCAATATATCTGAAGTTTGACCATAAGTGCTGATGTTAATCTGTTACTTTTATCCTTTGACCATTAATATAACCCATTCACCCCTGAAATTTCATAATGAACTTTTCCAACCTTTGAAATTTCATTTATGTCCTTTTAACCTTTACCCATTGTTTGATTCTACAGGTGTGATGAAGTTCATGGGCGACTATCCCATAGGTCCTAACCAATCGGAGTACGACTGTGTTCTCAAAATCCTCAGGGTAGGTAACTCTTCATCATTTCCGATATACAAATGGAGGTCACAAGATAAAAATTCAAATCTTGGGAAACAAATTCAGTTATATTTGTTTCATTACCAATATCAAGAAAGAAAATTGAACATGATGTCATTTTAACTCATCCCCCCTGAATTTCATAATGGACTTTTCTAACCTTTGAATTTGAAGAGTTCAAATGTGTCTTTAGGGGTGATTGAGTTAGTATCATTTTATGATGAACTAGGAATAAAAAAAACCAATCTTGTTATTACAGTCATGTCACAAACATCCGGAGATGAGGGATGAAATCTACTGCCAGTTGTGTAAACAAACGACAAGCAACAGAAGTATGAAGCCGTAAGTATTATTGTAGGACCGATAAGTCTGGTCTATCAAATTTATCTACATAAAACATATACATTGACCGACACAGTGGTATTGGCGAACATGTGTCAAGAGCAGGAACCACAATTCTCAAATGACAAATATACATTATTTGTTATTCAATTTTGTGTTTTAAAAATGTCATTGAAATATATAACTATCCTGTTGGTTTATTTTAGTTTTTATTTCCAATAAGTGTTGTGAAATTACAAGTCTAGAAATTTGCATCGGTCATTGAGATTGTCCGGTAAGCTCAAATAGGTCTTTGTGACAAGTTTCGTAAATCTCATATGAAATGATAATTAATTGAAGGTAAATTGTTGACTAGCAACTGAGAACTTTTAAAGGTCGTGACACAATATCGGACAGCAATCCCGCTAGACCCGACATCTCAAAAGTCTGTGTCAAGGATAATTTATAAGTGTTGTAATGTTAGTTATAATTGGCTAATGAACTCATCAAAGGTAACCATAGTTACCACACATATCACATGAAGCTATAGGAACCATACCATTCACAGGTAATCATGGTCATCATACTTATCACAGGTAACCATGGTAACCATACCTATTACAGGTAACCATAGTTACCATACCTATCACTGGTAACCATGGTTTCCAAACTTATCACAGAAATCCATAGTTACCATACATGTCATAGGTAACCATGGATTCCATACTTATCACAGGTAACCATGGAAGCCGTAGTTAAACAGTTAATTGTCATGTCTGCTCAATTTCGATATCTTTACAGGAAAAGCTGCATTATGGGATGGAGATTGTTTTCGATCATTGCCTGCTACTGTGACTGTTCAGAAAGCATACGACCTTACCTATTCAAATATCTGGAAACGACATCGTCAGATTCTTCCAGAACATTCAGTGGAGCTGCATCAATATGTCTGCAGAATCTTAGAAAGACGTTCAAATATGGAGGACGCAAAAACGTGCCGCTGAAAGCAGAAATTTCAGCCTTAGCGGTAAATAAAAAAATAAATGATTAAAAAAAATCCTTGTTTTCCCAAATTTTCAAGGGGATTCAAGATATGAAACTAAAGAGGAAAAAAGGACATCTATTTGTCATTACATTATTTTATTTTATTTTCATCATCATGGAAAAGAATTCTTCAGTAGCTATTGATTTTCAAGTACTGCTGAGTACGGTACTCAAAATATAGGAAAAAACATCTTTAAGATGATATGGACTGCTATTAATGAATGGTGGAATGATTTAGCAAGTGTGACATTACAAAATTAAAGTTCTTCTTGTTTTTTCATTTTATTGATATCTTCTAATCATTTTGGCCATTACACATAGCCCAATGGTAAAGATGGATTAATTTTTGCTGATTTCAAGGTTTGTACTCTAAAAATAAAAAAAATGTTACTACAAAAAAAACCTTGCCTCTGGCCTTGACCTTGGTAAAATTTGTAATTTACAGGACGGACGGGTGTCAAAGAGGTATTCCTTTATCTACAGCGGTTCTGAGCGCGAGGGCATGCTTCAAGTTCGACCATCTTTGGTAAGTTAACGTAGCCACCCCAGTCTATCGGCCCTCATCCCATCCTACAATTCATTACTTTCCCTTCCACCTACACTTTGTCAAAAAAACACTATGGGGTTTGAAGCCATGAAGAAGCAGCTTCTCTTCTTCTGTCAAAAATCTTCATCTTTGTTGAGTTTATATGACATGTTTCAGACATCTTCAGATAAACTTACCAATAACATCACTGCAGTTTTAAATGTATAGTTGAAGTACAATGGTATTTTGGGATTAGGACCTATGTAAGACTTCTTCCTATATTAAAGATTTGAAAATTGATTGAGGCAAGATCATGGTACTTGTTGGTTTTACTGTTAATTTATCAAGTAGGAAGGATACCGTAGTCAAAAGTGAAAAACGAAATGGTCATTCAGCAAATCTACTATATTTATAACTGTCACTGTAGGAATACTATTGTTCATGCGTTGTAAAGTACGTACCTTAGAGTAATTTTACAAATTATATAGGGGTGCTATATAAAGAGAGAGAATGTATTGAACATACATATTTTATTTGACTACTTCTGAACAATTAACTATGTTGTCCGGAGATTTAAACAACGGCTGTGTGTCATTCTCTGTGCAGGTCGTAAAGGATTCCATCGAGGAGATCTGCAATCGCCTCGACATTTTTGATCCCGTGGAAATGGAAGAATATACACTGTTCCTGCGAACAAGTAAGTTTCAAAATAAACTTGAATTGAAAAGTGTTTTAGATTCATACACAAATCGAAAAATAACACGCCAACTGAACCAGGTGGATCAGGACTAAGATTTACTATGCCATTCATAAAGAAAATTTCTTGACTATGTGTGTAGGTTTCTTGCAAAATCAAAGAATCAGAACTTTAAGGTAGAGAGTCCTGCAATTTTTCTTCTATAGTTATTTATCTGCTAAATTTATGTTTTGCCTTGTATACTCGCACAAAAACAGTTATAGAAGTTGTGGGCCATTTTAGGATGTTTGATCGTTTTGAAATATGACAAAAAAATATTAGCATAGTAAATATAATAACCAGTACATATACAGCAATTGACAAGCTCATGCACTGCTTATCAGTTAAGAGGTTCAGGGGCGGATTCTGTGTGGCCGAGTTTTTAACATGTGTTTGTGAAGAAAAAAAATATCATGCTAAATACATTTCTTACATACTACTCTTTAAAATAATAATAAATGGACAAGGAACTCCCAAGTCAGCAAAATCTCAGTCAAAATGGAACTCTTCTATGTTGGAGATACTTTTGAAATAGTAAATGGGCAATCAACAGATCCAAGCCAGCAAAATATCAGTAAAATTGGAACTCTTCTATGTTGGAGATGCAACACAGAGCACTGGGGACTAACCACCTTAACAGTGTATTTGTATTGGTTTGTTGGAAGCTTTGCTCTTGTGAACCAATGACCTTTGACCTTTACAGGTGACGATCATTATAGCCGATTAAAGTCGGAGGAGTACATCCTTGATGTGACTTCAGAGTTTATCCGAGGAAACAAGGACTACCAACTGGTGTTCCAGCGGACCGTTTGGTTCTTCCCATTCAGGGAAACAGACAACATCATATACAATGAATTAATGTTCTTCCAGGTAAAACTTCTTAAATGCAGCATAATAATAACGTAAGATCCTATAAATTTCGTCGGGTGCTGAATGTAGGGCTATTTTTGGAATGGAGGGACTGAGGGATTTCAGGAAAACCTAACTTTGAAAAACAAAAACAAATTGAAGTCATTTTTATCTTTTTTTTTAAAAAGATGAGATGTTTAGGCATTGGAAAGGAAAGTAGAAAAACTTCTTATTTAAAGAATATGAATATATCATGTTATTTTTCTTTGAAAAACACTTGTGACACTATCAAACTTGTATTCACAGTGTCTGCCAGACTTCCTGGAGGGACTATTGATCACGCTACAGAGTGGCCACCTCTCCAGACAGGAAGAGGTAAGTGACCTTGACCTTTGAAGTTGAAATAGATTGACAGTATGGCCCCATTCACATATCTTGTTTAGAAATTTGTCAATGAACTTCCTTATCGTCAAAAAGACAAATACTGTCACTCTTATGCAAAAAGTGATATTTTGTATGTTAGGTTTTACGTGAAGAAGAAATCAAACTATTTAGAAGCATATTTTAGACACCATTACAGATAATTGTTACAATTAATTATGATATATTTCTGGTTTTATTTTACAGGATGATCTCCCCACGCTCGGAGCTCTCCTGTTCAAGGCTTTTGACAGAGTGGGCACACCAACCATGTAAGTAATGACCCAAAGTTTTTTTTTTTAATGTTACCTAGGTGATGAACGCTGACACTCTTAAATAGTTGTTGGTATTGAAAAAGGCTTTTTATACCCCCGTTACTATTTTTCCTGGAGCAACGATCCTTGAAACATTGAATTTCTGCTCCAAAAAACTTGTAAGCCCAACTCCTCCTTAAGTGTTTGTTTGAATTTTTTTTGTAACTTTGCACAATGAAACTATATTATATGTAGATTGGCATAAAAAGGAATTTGCAATTCAACTATATGTTAAATGGAGTTATAGCCCATTGAAACTTTATATCTGCTCCAGAAACAAGTTGAAGCACAAGTGGGGGTATATCTTTGAGCTCGCTCACAGTTTCTGTAATTCAAATAGGTTCCCAATGATGGGAAAAGGATCAGAAACGAAATGGTGGACCTGATTTTACAGATCAAAATGGTGGATTAATTTCCATACGGAAAAAAATCCTTAAGAAAGAGTGGGTTGGAGTGTGAATTCACTGATGCACAAGTCCTAGATCTGCCCTTGGTATATAGTTTACAGGTTTCCATTGTAGACAGGTGGTCACTTTAAACAGATGGTCAACTATTACCAGTGCCTATACCAACATTGTGCTACATTTTTCTCCCTACAGTAAGGACCTTGCCTACCTGCTGCCCAAGACGATGAACAAGTTGTCCGACTTCCAGCCACAGCAGTGGGTCAACAGAATCCACCACGAGATGAACGCTGCCAATCGCCTTGGACCTGTTAATTGCAAGGCTAAATTCGTTTGTAAGTACTCTATCCTAATTTTACATATACCTCTGCTGTCTTGCTTTTCATCAGGGGTTATATATTTGTTTAATTAAAATTTGCACAAATTAATTACTCAAAACATGATTCAATCAACCATTTTTCAAATTGAAAAAAATCTCCAGGGTTTAAAAAAAAAATGATATTTTTATTCTTCATGGGTAGTTTTGCTATTGTTTTATTATTCATGGTTAGTTTTGCACAATAGCACATGAAATATGGAAATGCAAAAATATTGTTTTTAAATAATTTAAGGTTACATTTAATTTACATTTCTTTTAGCAAAAGATTATTAAACTTATAAATCTTTGAAAAATGGGCCATGTGTGCTCAAAGTTTGATTCAATATTTAATTGTGTTCCATTGATATATTTCAGCTATTCTTTCGAGGTGGCCCCTGTTTGGATCTATATTCTTCATGGTCAAGGTGAGCAAAATTAAGACAATTACTAGCTGTCATTGTGGATTCTAGGTAATGTTAATCTAGGTAAGCGAGGCGTCTCTCCTTTGTAATCTTCAAAGGACAGGTATCAGCCTAGCAATTGGTCAGTTTCTTTTTACCTGAGATCAATCAAACAGCTAACTTCGTGCCTTCAAGTTTGCTATGACATATTCCAGGGGTGTAGAGAGCGAAAGTGAGCGTAACCCCTGGTTATCGAGGATGGGTAAGCTTGGTCTAGGTAAATTTCATGGAGTTAAATTTGGTCTAAGTAAGCAAAGTCTATATAAGTGCAGTGCAAATAAGTCTTTAATTTTCATTATTGCTTCTATAAAACAAATATCTTGATACCTTAACCCTGGAAAAAAAATTAAAAAAATTATCCCTATTATATAACAGAGGGCACATATTTGCATTTTCCATTAGACATCTTGGTTAGACTTTGCATATAAGACTTAGCATTACGAGTCCAGTAGTGATCCACATTTCCCTGATTTTATCCTCTCATTTTCCCCAACATAACATATCTGTTCGGTAGGGGAACTTCTCCTGAAAAAAAAGTCCCTCCATGTAGGTTTTTCTTTGGTAAAGATTGAAATTTTCATGCTTTAAAGTGTGATCCCTGACCTGCCTTGATATGTTTTCCACATATTTACAGAACGCCCCCACACAGCCAGTCATCCGCGGAGACACGATTTTGGCTGTCAACAAAAACGGTATCCACTTCCTCAGTGAAGCCACACATGTAAGTATCAAATTCTTTGGCAGGGGGGGATTTTTTTGTAAATCAGTGTTTGTTTTGCACAATTGGATGCTGTTGTAGGCTCACTATATGGTGAGCGAAGTTATGAAATATGAAAACAAAACAAAAACCTTTTTGTTCCTTCCAGTGTATAATAAAAAAGATGAAGGGAAATTTGTATAAAAATAACACATGAATCAGCATGTAATCATTGACTTCTTATGGATATAACAATATACAGAAAAATAATCCTGGTTTATGAGTCTACACAATATTTGACCTTTGACAAACCACTCAACATAAAACATTACCTACTATACCCTAACTCCGACACCCCGCAACCATCACTTGAAAGACAAACATGTGACATAGGACACCTACCCAATTAAATATTTCTGTTAACACATGACCTCCATCATGACATTTAACTCATGATATGCCCATCTTACATATTACTTCTGAAACATGAACCCTTCCTTTTGCCGTTAAATATGACCTCTGACACATCACAGAATCCCGTCCCTTTTGAACACCAACAATGACCACCTCCTTCTCAATGAAAAATGACCTATATCACATGAACTTTACCATTAAATTCGACCTCTGATCACATGACCCATCATAGACTTTCCCCGACAAATACACAAATATCAACGATGACCTCTGACTCATGACTCCCCTTCCCCATTAAATATGACCTTGACTTCTATTACATGACCTTCATCATTAAATATGACCTCTGATACATCATAGACCCCCCCCCCGACAGATACACAAATATCGACAATGACCTTTGACTCATGACCCCTTCCATTTTGTTCATGACTTGATGGATTCTGTTTCCTAGGAAACCATTATCCAGTACCAGTTTAGTGAAGTGATGTCCACACGGCGCTACAGGAGTGACAGCAACCAGAACTACCTTGATATGAAACTCGGCAATCTCATGGTGCAGAAAATAGTTCGCATCGAAACGGACCAGGTAAATAGTCTGGACGATTCTACTGTAGATGATGTAAATAAAGTCGAAATTTTGTGGTAAAGTGAATATTTGCTTTTTATTTTTAAAGACTTCATCAAATTTTGACTTGCAATAGATTGATTCGAACTTTTTTCAATTCAATTCTTTGAAAAATTCGAGATTTAAAAAAATATTCCATCCAATGTAGAATTAGCCCTCTTGTTCAAACGTGAACATAAAATTGACCAAAATTGTCTGTTTAACTATGACTCAATATTTAAATGTATTTTTTTTTTTTTTTTTTTTTTTTTACACAGGGATCTGATATCTCAAGTCTTATTGGACAATATATGCAAGTAATCAATCGCCATCGGAAACGACCGGCTGACAGAAATAGCATAGCACACAGGATGTAAATAACATGAGGTGGAGAGTTCCACACCAGACTTCCGTATTGTGACATTAATTTTTTGTGAGACTTGACTTCACGAAAGAAATGGAAATGGCTGAATACGTAATATTACTGAGTCCTAAAGTGTGTGAAACTCATGCTGGCATAGGTTGTGTTACGGATGCTGTCTGTGTATGATTGATTAACTTGGAATTTGTGTTTCTGGAGGTTCGTGAAAGCAAGGTCAAGGATCTTTGTAATCTGTGTTAATATTTCTGACGGTATGTGTTGACACAGCGTTACCATTGAAAGTCGAGATTTCAGGCCGTAACTCCAGTCGTAAAACAGGACTTGCGGCGGCAAGGTGACGATTTCAGGCCATAAACCCAAGGATGACCTTCTTAAACTGCCAAAGGAATATATTTATGTTTATTAAAGAGTTGCATACAACTTGACCAAAATATATTGTATATTTCAAAATATAATCTAGAGTTTTATTGGGATATCGTAGGGAAACAGATAAGAAGTAGGCATTATCATGGCTGTGTATCGATGCAAACAAAACAGTCAAATGCTAATGTAATAATTAACAGATATCAAATAAACAAATCCTTCTCGCCAAATCCTTAAGAAGTGGCGCCATGTATATTATACAGATATATTAACAATTTTTAAAGCGATATGTACAATATGAATCTAAATAAGTTCAGCAGAACAAATCTGGCTCGGGGGAAATTGTGCGTTTTTTTATAATCGTGAGAAGAGCTGTTCGTATATACTGTACGTGTGATAACGATTTAGAGTTAATGAGTCATTTCATCTGTATATAGAACTCAAAAAACTCTCTACATCTATAAAGACAATATTTACTCCATATTGAATCCTTTATAATCAGATTATGCATATAATGCTTATGAAAATATAATTCTATAATATTATATAATATAAATGTATTGTGTTTATGAGAGAGGCACAGATATTGTGATATATATATATATATAACATTCCGTTATTATTTGTTGCTATGGTTACAGAATTGTTGGGTATTTTTCCCCTTATACAGGAAATATTTACCCTGTAACCTTGTACAGAATTCTACGTAGACACCTATCATTGTTAAAGATTTCATATATTTTTTCCCCCATTCGCACCACACACAGAGACAAAATATAAGTATGTTCTTTTTAGATGAAAAAGTAGAGATTTTTGCAATAGAAACAACTGGTTACCTTAGTAACCATTTTTTCCCCATTGCAATCCTTTATGATCAGAAATAGAATTGAAACAGATCAATACTTGTTGCTACTAAGATGAAAATTTCAAGAAAAGGATGTCATCCAGTTGTTTCATTTCTGAGGGAAATAATGGCGAATTTTTCAACTGATGAAGCTGAAATATTCATTTTGTGGAAAGGGAATAATCACCCTTTTTAACATAATAAAAACCCAGGTGTTTTGACAAATCAAAAGATTGTAATATTCAGCTCATTAAATGAAATACTACCAGAATGAATGTTTTAAGGTGTCTGTAAAATCTCCATGACGTTTGAACATTGTAAATGTTACAGGTTATATATATATGTGATTGAATGGCTAACACTTTACATAATGTCTGTCACTGGTAAGGGGAGGTAATTTGGTAATCTCCCTTTATCGGTTTGTTTAATATTCATCATAATTCCCCACAAAAAATCTATATTTACCTTTGTAATAGTTTTTGAGAAAAATATTAATAAAAGTACTTTTCTTCTGTATGAAAATCATAGTGACAATGGATTTTTTTATTTACAACCTTAATTTTTTTTTTTTTTATTATACATTGTATTTTAATACATCTGTCGGAATCAAATGGAGGTACATGCAGATTGAATAAAGACAGGGTCATTTCAGACAGAATGTACAATTAAAGCTGACATCCTGTTTCAGGATCGTATTTCTCTTTTGAGAAAGTTGTTTTTCTAGTTATTAAAGTCCTATAAACACATGTTTTTTGCAAGATTCAAATTTTCATGTTCATCTATGTGAGGAGAGTTTGATCATGGTTTTGAATATCTCCGAATTATTTATTCAGACTCAATTAAAATGAGGAATAGCTACATCAGTTGTCTTTCATGTTACAAAGTGAGGTCCTCACAAACAGATCATTGTTAGTTTCGATAGATTTCTGTCAGGAAACATTTTACAATGTTTGATGAGCTGACTTTGGATAAAAATATATATATATCGTCTGTCAGGACAGTATATATTGCGAACACACGTTGCACAAATATATTTTACATTGAAAATTATAATGAATGAATTAAGTGTATTTATTCACATAAATATTATAATAATTAGTACGATATCAAGCATATTTATCCCTTCATATTTGTGTTTATGTACCGAAATGTATGCAGTATGTAATCAGGCCGAATCTGTTTTACGCTTGTTCTGTGTAAAAAAATATCAACATTTGTTTAGACCTTCATCTTTTTACCTGCTGACAAAGCTAATTAGCTGATATAACGTGATGTGGTGTGAGACCCTTATTTGTTGCAAGGTGATCAGTTGCTATGAAAACAATGACCCGTATTTGTTGCAAAATGAGCTGTTGCTATGGAAACATTACCTTTAGTTGTTGCTATGGAAACAGTGATCCTTATTTGTTGCTAGGTGATCTGTTGCTATGGAAACAGTGACCATTAGTCTATGGAAGCATTTTTGGAATTTCAAGGATAATTGTGAAAATAGAAAATCATTTTCATGGATGTGTTGATTCATTTTTAATGGCGTTCAGGGGTACATTTAACTACAGCTTGTGAGAGATCTGGAAATGAAATGTATGGATGAATAAATATTAAGGTAAATGCCAGAACAAAAATGAATATTACCAGGTACCTCTGGTAGTTGTTTATGTAACCTGAAATGGTTTTTTTGTTTTTTTTTGCAATATATGTTAATGTTTTTTGAATCTCACGGACAAAATTTAAATTAAGCTGCCAAATAAACTCGTGTACAATGAGTGTTGTTTGTAAAAATTTGAAACACAGAAATTGATTTGCCAGTTATGGTTGGTCACCCTTTGGAATATAAATGAATATTCAACTCCAATGTATATGCACAGTTAATGAATATTCAGTGAGGTTGCTTATTTTTTTATCCACTGAAGGAACGAATTAAACAAAATGAGCTATACAAACAAAATAAATTATTATTTTAAATTATTTTTGGCCTCCAATAACCCAGGGATGTTTAGACATCCCTGAATAACCCAAAGGCTGAAATAAAATTAAATTAAAAAAAAGAACAGGTTAAACCAAATCATGTTAAAAAATAACAATATCGGAGAAATGATTGTCCGACACTTAAGAGACCAGTACATTATTTATATATTTAAAATTTCTCACATTTCTTTTCATAAAGAAATATTAGTGCTAATGTTATACAGACAATTTTTTTTCCTAATAGAGGGGGGGGACAATTCAATTTATATTTGTAAGGAGTTTGACAAATATGGAACGTTTATATTTCATATAAATAAACCTCTTTATCATAGTCATGTATTCATCAGGTAAAATATGCATGAAATGTCAGATATTAGATATGCTTATTATGATTAATACGGTATACAGATCAAAATCAAAATAATTATGAGTTATGTTTTAGTAATATAGCAATTCCATACTGTGTTGGTTTACATACATAAACATATGTTTTCTTCCATAAATCAAAGATTTGTACAGTTTTCGTGTCAAACTGCAACTATTCATACACATTTTTTCTTTATTATTTTTTGAACTTTTCAATGCTTCCAAATAAAAACTATAGTAGCCAGAATTAGACTAAACAATTAAATAGAAATCATACTTAGGAGTTTGTATTCAAGAATAATTCGATATGTTTGATGAAATTATATTTCATGTCTCAAATGTTTCTAGTCCGAAACTCCATGGAAATTGTCTGTTTTTTTTTGGTTTTTTTGTGTTATTCCAAGACAAAAAAATAGTTAGCTCCAAGGCATGTGTGATATTTATTTCAAACTAAACAGATACCAGATTTTTTTGAAAAAATATTTTTTTCAAAATTTTAGTAATTAGCACATTATTATACATTTCAGCCATACAATTCTTACAGGTTCACTTCTACTTCTTACTAGTGGTGATCAAGCTTAACAGCTGAAGTTCACACCAGGAAAGATAACTCATGTCATCAGGAAAGATGACTCATGTTATCAAGCTTTACAGCTGAAGTTCACATCAGGAAAGATAACTAATGTTATCAAGCTTTACAGCTGTAGTTCACACCAGGAAAGATAACTCATGTCATCAAGCTTTACAGCTGTAGTTCGCACCAGGAAAGATAACTCATGTTATCAAGCTTTACAGCTGTAGTTTGCACCAGGAAAGATAACTCATGTTATCAAGCTTTACAGCTGTAGTTTGCACCAGGAAAGATAACTCATGTTATCAAGCTTTACAGCTGAAGTTCACACCAGGAAAGATAACTCATGTTATCAAGCTTTACAGCTGAAGTTCACACCAGGAAAGATAACTCATGTTATCAAGCTTTTCAGATGCAGTTTATGCCAGGAAAGATAAGTAATTTTTTGGGATGTTAGTGATTTTGAGAATCCTGGAATCGTCATCTGAAAATAAATGAATGATTTAAGGGTGTAGGCTATCTTGATGTGGTTCTTATCTCCTTTCAAAAAGATTTTTGATTCAGAAAAGAAAATCCATCTTTTTTATAAATGGTACTTTAGACTTTCAATTTAATTAATTTATCAATGAAATGTTTGAATGGCATGTTAAATTACACAAGTTATTGTAAGCATTGATCACAATCAAATATTTCTAACTTGCTCTAATGATGACAAATAAAAAGCTGTTTCAAGTGAGATAACTCTGTTTCAAGGGAGATAACTCTAACACCAATCTACCATTTAATATTTGAGGTATAATATTCCTTTTTAAAACTTGTACATTCATGTCTATGTGAAACAATTGAATAATATATTCATACTCTTATAACAAAACATATCTTTTCCGAAGAGGTCACCGATGTGGTATTTATTTTCCATAGTACAACTTCTTCTTAGAAACACAAGATACTTTCATTCAAAAGTGGCATGAAAAATCGTCAATGGTTGGAAAAGCAAGTGAGAAATGTTCATGAAATTTTCTTCGTGAAATTAAATCATGAAACTCGTATCTCTGGTGTAGGAGCTGAAATATTTCAACATGAAAATTTGTGAAGGGTGACGAATATAAACTGGGTGTTTATGAAAAATTATATATGTGCAATCATAATACCGTGTCTGATGTAAATTATTCGTAAAATACAGTGGGATATGTATGCTACATCTAGTATGTCAATTAACCTTCTATATTTTTATATTTTCATGAGCAATAAACATTTTAAGTAATCAAATTCCGTTTTCATTTTTTTTTTTTTTTACTGTGTACACAATTTGACAAATGGTTTTTGTGTATTTATTTGGTGAGGTTTAATATCCTTGCAACAGGTAAGGTCATACGAAGGATGTGAAAAGGTATTTAGTCACCTGCCTCATCACGTGGGTTTTCTGCGGGTACTCCGGTTTCCTCCCACATGTTAACATCTGGGCCAACAAGAGTTAATATAAGTTGAAATAACTTGTTTTATAATTGTTGTTAAATAAATAAAGTTTATATATAAGAAGACGGGTGGAGGAGAAGAAATAGCAAAGTGATACTAGAAAAACAATAAACAGCTAGTATATATTGCAAGAGGGACAGCTGATCAATTTGGTTTTTTTTTAATGTCCCTGAAGCAGTGAAAAGACACAGAAGAAACCCCAAAATCTCTACAGGGTGCCAAACCCAGCTGATCCAGACATCCGGGCCAATATTCATGAAACCATTCTCGCGTTCTGTGCTCAAGCCAATTTCTTGTTCCAGTGATCAATCAATAAAAAAAATACATTTTCTCAATGATTTTGCGGGTGAAATAAAGAGACTAAAAGCCGAATACCGTTTTCAATATTTACACTTGCAAATTTGGCTGTGTCACAGAATTTAACCGAGTTGCACAAAAGTTGGTTTGAGCACATAATCCATGCTTGACCATGAGAACGGTTTCATGAATACGGGCCCTGATTGTTTTCTTGGAAAGTACAGTTTTATGACTTAAAAAAAGATAGGGTCCTTGCAAAAGACTTCACTTGGTTTCATCCGACAGGAGGCCCAAAGGGACATGCACTCGCATGATTTTTTTTCCAACATATTTTATACCTATGACCTTGAGACGGGGTCAAGGTCACTTATTTGAACAAACTTGATCATTCTGAGACAGGAGGACAGTTTTATTGATCCTGGGAAGGCTAGACCAGTTATTGTAAATTACAGCCGATCGTTGATGACATTGTAACCGGTATTTGGCGGCAGACATTTTGAAAAAATAATTCAAAAAGTAATATCTATTAACATCAAACTACAATTGCAAAGATTTTAATGATATCTGATACATCGAAATGACACTAGGTCTCATAGTACGGAAGAACACTATTCAAAAAATTTAACCCATTTTACCTCTTGAACTGTAAATTTGGACAAGCCATATAATTAAGAAATAATCAAGGTATGTGCGCACATTATGGTGGATTATATAACGAGGGTGAAATGATGTTGCAAAAACAATCAACGAAAGCCGTTTTCGGCCCGAGTTGTTTATTTTTCCAACATTTTCAAATTCCGAATTCCACCATAATGTACACATATACGTTGATTGTATCTATGCTACCAAATAAAATGTAACGAATGTCTACTTCGTGTCTACTCCAGTGTTCAAACGCGTGATAAGTAAGGTGACCTAGATAATCTGATCACTTGATTTGCGTGCACTAACATCCGTCTTGTGGTGTCTATATGTCTTCATTTCAAAGCAAGCTACGTGTTTTATCATTTCTGGTCCTGTTGGCAATTTTCCTACTTTGTCTTTTTAACCTGGATATATTTGGGAAGGATGTTTTTTTTTTTTAATTTCAGTCGTCATTCGGTTGACAGACGATAAACAATAAACATTGACGTAATGCGTCATGCCAGATGTTTATTTCAATCAATCAAATCAATCAGTCTATCAACATCACTCGGCAACGCATGAAATCAGCGTTTGACAGATTTGCAAACACTATTTCATTTCACCTTCGCGATAATTAGTTCAGCGGAACATTCTGACCATGAGATTGAAGGGTTTTCAGTAGATCTAGAGGTAAATTAGATTTCTGTGTTCTTCCGCTAGCAAATCTTCAAAAGCATAAAAAAAAAATATGCGGGTACCTCGCCTCATTCGACAAATGAAACAAGTCCCGCGACTCACTTGGTGCATTTGCGGGGGGAGGTTTTTGGAAGAGCATATGTCTGTTTGAAAATAATACACGCGCTCGCTCGCGCATGGTCTATCGTCCAATCCATGGTTATTAACCAATGAAAAGTGTAGTAGCATTGCAAACATGGTAGAGTTTGAAATATCTCATAAATAGTCCATTACCCCAGTTACATTTATCTTCTGGAAAATATAAAGACTAAGACTCATAGTTCTTTAGAAGAAGTTGTTTGAAGTTTTCACCGTTTCAATGCTGACCCTTGCGGTCTCTAAAATGAAGCGAACTCATTTGTTTTAACAAGTCTGACAGTCCTTCCAGACAGTAAACTACAGGAAAATATGAATCCATGTCTTATGGTTCTGAAGAAGTGATGTTACGTCACGTCATGTCATCTCATAGTTAAGCTCACTTGCACTTTTTGTCAGCTGAGCTTAAACACACAGAGAAACGGCTGTTTATCTAAAAGTAAATTACAGATTCCAAATGATTACAAAAAAGCAGAACTCAGAAAAGTAATAATATAGTACACGAAACTTTACACGACACAACCTTTAATCTGTTTTAATCAACCCAAATTCAAATTCTGTAATATTGTTTATTACACACATGAAAAATAATGCAAACTTACATCTCGACTTAGACGATTATTTTTAGTAGGCTTTTGGCTTTAAATAGCATTTATTTACATTCAAATCATACTTTTGATGAGTAATACTTTGATATAAGATAAATTAAAAAAAATGTCTAGTCGCGCCAGAGAAACCGTTCATCTTTTAGTAAATCTGCTAAATGTTCAGTGTAGGGTTTGTAAAATTCCGTTATTAAGGCTTTCGTTTCTGGTAACATGTCGCCGATCTTTGATACTTTTGACGCTCTTTTATCGGGTTTCTTTTGTTTTTCCGGGACACCTAAAAACAAATAAAATTGGATACGCTTTGTAATCTTATGCAATATGGACAAAATATTATTTATATAAACATCCATGAAGGAAATATAAAATAATAGAATCTGCCGAAAAGACAATAAAGAAAGAGGCAAATACAGCAGAAAAAACTCATTAACAATGATTTTAGAAACTTTTTTACAATGACATTGTTACAATATGCATTTTACATAATTACATACTCCACTGACAACAAAACAATAAAACCTCGTTATACTGCCAACATTTCCCCTCTCGACATATGTTGACATTATAAAGGGGTTAAAGTGGCATTATATTGAATGAGATTTACCAATGTACCAGTATAAAGAAACTAGAGAGAAACAGAAATGAACAATACTGTAACGATTCATGAATAGAGACATGCTCAAAGGTGTCTACCCTCCCTCGTTAGAAGGGAGACTCACTCATTGTGACAAAAATGTACCAGTCTCCCTTGATCGGAACTCTCTCATTCAAGTCCAAACTCATACAAACTCAAAATCTACATCCTGTGATCACATGATCTCCTAGTTACTGCACGGCGTGTGTAATGATCATAACAGGTGTGTCTGAATCAAATGAACATTTTTGGAGTTATTTTGATACATAAAAAAGGAAAGATAAATTGTGCAAAGCACTTTCAGTCGCGTTTCACACACTTTCTCCCCCATTGGAACTGTGGAAGGAGGGAGATCTCCCTCATTGGAGGTTTCAGAGGTTGACACCTATGTATTTTATAAAGTCAGACTATGGTAAGTGAGGCGTTTTATCAAGTTTTTACAGTATAAATAGGAAGGACGGTAACAGAGAAATTATATCGAGGTTTTACTTATAAAGTCAGACTTATCGTATTAGAGGCGTTATATCGAGGTTTTTACTGTATGTAGTAGGAAGGACGGTAACGCTGACGTTATGTAGAGGTTTTATTATAAAGTCAGACTTATGAGGCGTTATATCAAGTTTTTACTGTATAAATAGGAAGGACGGTAACAGAGACATTATATCGAGGTTTTACTTATAAAGTCAGACTTATCGTATTAGAGGCGTTATATCGAGGTTTTTACTGTATGTAGTAGAAAGGACGGTAACGCTGACGTTATGTAGAGGTTTTATTATAAAGTCAGACTTATAAGGCGTTATATCAAGTTTTTACTGTATAAATAGGAAGGACGGTAACAGAGACATTATATCTAGGTTTTTACTGTATGTAGTAGGAAGGACGGTAACGCTGACGTTATATCGAGGTTTTCCTCTCTGAAGTAAGAAAGACGGTAATTAAAGAAAGATATAATATAGAAACAATTACAAAGTCAGAAAATCTGAGTAAGAGAGACGCTGGCGTTATATCGAGGTTTTACTGTTAACTGTAAGACAGGCATTATATCAAGGTTAATTTTCTGTCTATTATAGATATGTGTGAATTATAATTACTACACTTTGTATTTATCAAACACATCATGGGGACATTCATCTTCGAGTGAAATACTTACGCAGATTAAGAAAACGAAATATGCCTTCCATAACCTCGGTATTTTGTTTGGAGTAATCTTCAAGTCGTATTATATGAAATTGTTCCCGGGGATAAAACTTCAGGTATTCCTCAATGAACAGTGCATAAAATCCATTATTAAGACGTGCCTTACTTGTCACATTTCTCTGGGAAAATATAAACAACATATAATTACTACTATTATTACAATGAATAAAACATGGTTCAGTATTCTGTATACTACAGGATTTAAGTACCACAAACAATGAATTTTCGCGAATACATTGTTTTTGAATCGCAAGTGATTCAAACTCCGGCTTTCCTCCACCACCAAAACCTGACACGTTCCTAAATGCCCATAGCTGTTAATAGGAGGTAAAACACAAACTAACAAATTGACAAATTAAACATCATATTTGCAAGGATTTGAATCTTAAATCCGTTTGTATCGCTTTAACGGTCACTCAGGACCATATGAAGATGGTAATCGGAAACCGTCGGCACTCTCCGTAAACGAGGAAATACCGACGATTCCCGAATGATGAAGATATAAATATGTAGCTACATCGGAAAACACCGCCGATTCGACAGAGGAGGGAAGTAAGGAAAGACAAGGTGTCGTCAATATCCCCGTAGCAAAAAACACAGAAGAAGTCCCCCTATTCTACAGATGGACCAATCTTACTCGTCTGGTACAAAAGCATGCAGTGAAATAGACTGACAGCAAGCCAATTTATTCCCTCTAAATCTGCAGGGATTTTTTTTGTTAACATTCGAATAAAAAAAGTACATTTGAATCTATTTAAAAAAAAACCACTAACCTAAATGTATTAAAGTACTTTGCATAACTAAAGTCTTTTCATGATAATATATTCACAATACGTTTTCAGTGATTTGTTTTTCAACGATGACGTAGATATGACGTACTTGGGACGTGCTTTTGATTATGACGTATTAAAAACGAATGTTTGGTAAAGAAATGACGTAGCTATGACGTATTTGGGACAGAACGTTTAATGATGACGTAGCTATGACGTATCTATACTTGCCTCATCAAAAGAATTACGAAACACACAGTATCGAAAATCGTGAAGTCTGGAACAGTTTCTAAATGAGTTGATTTCTTTGGTCACTTCCTGATGGAACAGCTCCGGTGACTTTTTCCCTAGACTTACATATTTGTAGTCCGAATACAGCCTGTAATGATAAAGTCATAAATAGTATGGTTATACGGTATCTTACGAACAACAGGGCAAGCCTCCTTAACATTAAATATTCTAAGGATCCTTGTACCACTGCTATTAACTGTAACGACGCTTTGGATTTTTTTTCTATTTTTAATTTCCGGCATAACTATAGCTTTGATAAATCGTCTCTGAAAAGAAAAAAAAATACCTTGTGTGACTTTTTATGAAAACATAATAAAGATGAAATAAACAAAATATAATCAACAACAGTGTTCTGAATGTTAAGATATTAGCGGTGCTTTACCGAGAATTGAATCCTGGACTGAAATTCAGATTGTTTTATTATCGCTCTAACTGTCTGAATTACTTGGTCAACGGAAGAAGCTTGGCCCGATTGTGCTACAAATATGTCCAAAATGAAATTAAGGGGAGATAACTGTATATAAGATAAAACAGGTCACAGTGGGACAGTGATCCTAAAATAAATATTTTTTATTAATTTAGGATATTTCATTAAATAATATCTTAAAAACGAAGGAGACATTTTAATAAATATGAAAAACTTAAAATACATCTAAAGATATCTTTTATTCAATAAGATATATCTATAATTAATTTTAAGATATTACATTTAAATATATTTAATTATTTTAAAGATATGTCAATTTCGTTTAGAGATATCTCTATTTCGTTCAAACATATCTCTTTTTTTGGGGGCGGGGGGTATTCTCTTTTGGTATTTAAGGTAATAGGATTGTGTCACCCTTTCTCAGTAGAATTTCGATACACTCCAATGACCTTAATGTGAAGTTGGCTTGCCATTGCTTGTGTCGAGTTATCTCCCCTATTTATTTAATCCGACTTTTTAAAAAAATCAATATCGTAATATTTATGAATCTCTTACCTTGACGTAGGGTTTCTTAAGATAATAATGATTTTAAGATTAATTGATTTCTACATCAACACGGGGTATCTCAAAGTTAAAAGTGATCTTAAGATTATCCTGACTTCGACACACTCATAAAGATATAAATGATCTTACCTCTTACCTCGACACGGGGTTCTTTCAGATAGAAATAGTCTTAAAATTACTCTTCATAACAGAGTTCCTTAAGAACAGAATATGGTAAAAAAAAAAATCTGATTTCTTGATAAAAAAATCGTTAAGATTTTATAAGATTGCTTTTACCTCGACACGGGGCTCCTTAAGACGATAATCATCTTACGATTTGGCATGAAGTTATGTAAACTTTTACCTTCATACAGATTTCATTAAGATTAAAAATGGTCATACGATTATTCTGATTTATTAAAAGAAAACAGTCTTAATATTATTTTTAACCTCTTGAGATTGCTCTTACCTGGACACAGGATTCCTTAAGATAATAATCATCTTAAGATTCGGCATGAAGTGATGCAAATAATCAGCATTAGTAACTGCTGGGGGCTCTGTGTCGTTCTCGTTTACGTTGTAATTCCACCACCAGCGGTTGTCCCATAAATTAGAGGGCGTGGCCTCTCCTGAAATTTTCAACAGCAAGTCGTTTGATACTTCAACACAGACAAGAAATTTCGATTTAATGCAATAAGTAAGTATAAGACAGTCAAGAGTAGGACGAAGGAAATGCATTGCACCATAGCGTCGACACTGGAGAAAACGAACCGGAACTGAGGGGACAGAAAACGAACCAGAACTGTTGGGACAGAAAACGAACCGAAACTGAAGGGACATAAAACGTACCGGAACTGAGGGGATATAAAACGTACTGGAACTGAGGGGACATAAAACGTACCGGAACTGAGGGGACATAAAACGTACCGGAACTGAGGGGACTTAAAACAAACCAGAACTGTTGGGACAGAAAACGAACCGAAACTGAGGGGACATAAAACGGATGGACATAAAACGTACTGGAACTGAGGGGACATAAAACGTACCGGAACTGAGGGGACATAAAACGAACCAGAACTGTTGGGACAGAAAACAAACCGAAACTGATGGGACAGAAAACGAACCGGAACTGAGGGGACAGAAAACGAACCGGAACTGATGGGACAGAAAAAGTACCGGTACTGATGGGACATAAAACGTACCGGAACTGATGGGACAGAAAACGAACCGGAACTGATTGGACATAAAACAAACTGGAACTGATTGGGTGGCAAACTTTTCGATTTATCGCCTTGTCGGCTTTAGGTCGAGGGAACGAGGTCACGAAATTGTTATTCGGCCCTAACCTATGGAAGCGTATACGGGTCACCTTTTGACATGTTTTTAGATGGAAGTCATATTATTTTCAACACCGAAAAACTCAACAAGTCGCAAAGTACGAAATTCCATAGTAAGAAACAATTTGGCAAGTGGTGTTGTAAATAATATGGAGCCTGATAAGACAGCTCCTGCGAATTCTACAATTTTGTATTGATTAATGTATTTTTTAATGTATATGTTTCTTGTATTGATTGAATTAACTGATATATCTATGTGCTGTTAAGCGCTTTAGAGTGGCTTATTCTAGCTAGATAGTACGCTATATCGAATGCTGTTTATTTAGTTATTAACATATATTAACATGGATTGCGAGCCTGCATAATCTAAAAACCTGTCTATTTCGGCACGTTCCCAAAATGATTTATATTGTGTTCGGTTTAGACAGGTGTCACTATGTCTTAAATGTCGTTCCATACCTGTAATGATTTCAGCGCTGCGCTTAACTTTCGCTTGTTTCTTAGAGATAAGAAACTTTTGTATTTTCTTCGCAGCGGGATTGAAATATTCTATGTAATTTTTCCAAGTCCATGGTCGATTATCTGGAAAAGAGAAAAAGAAATTATAGCCTAATTATAATGTTTTTGGGGTTTTTTTCATGGAGAAAAAAAGGTGAATATTATAAGATACTGTTTGGTTTTTTTACTGGTATTATTAGTTATTAAGTGTTTTACTTGCTGAGGGCTTCAGCTATTCTTTTCAGATGCCCATTGGATAATGACGTCACAATCAACCGACGTGCTATTTTTCCGTTCGCCAACGAAGCAACGCTCTCCAAGAACGATCGCATATGCATGAAGAAACCAAATACGTACAAATATTGAACTTCTTTCAGGAGGGACATTTCAAAAGTTAGTGTAAACTTCTCACATGCTTAATATTGACTCCTCTGAATTGGAAAACGTATTTGCTTTCGGCGTACAACTGACGTTTGCTTACAAAACGGTCGCCAACGTTTTCGCTGCCAAACGTAGCTCTGCTGAGAGGACGAGGAATTTATAACGTCAACGCAAGACGTGAAAAAATGGATATTAGGAAAATACTATAATACATTAATCAGTCAATATGGAGGATACACTATACTTCAGAAAATACTCAGTCAATGACGTAACAATTACACTCATATTTAATATATAGAACTTATAGGACTAAAGCAAGTCTATCATTTTGTGTGCGCACGCGCGCGACCGCGAACGGACTGTAGAATGCGGACAGTGGGACCGTGTCTAAGCGACAGAGCGGGCTGAAGAATGCGTGCACGGTCTGAACTGAAGCAAGGTAAGTCATTAAGCTTTTGTTTGATAACAATGTAAATATTTATATTCAGGTTTTCCCCATGCATTTAGGTTTACTCGTCATATACATAACACGCGTTATACAATTATGTGAGCTTTGTCATGCGTGTCGGGTGCACGTGCATTTCGAACCCCGCTCTATCGGTGTTTGCGTTTTGGCTAGGATATATATATGTAGGGGCAGTAACTAAAGTTAGTTTAGAAGTTCTACATACTTTTTGAAAAAAAACAACAACATTTTACCACTTATACAACGCAATAATAATACCTCCTCAATACCCGATAGGGAATGTCACATGATCTATGTCCCAAGCCAGTTCCCCACATAAAGAAAGAAAGATAATTTTGACTTCGAGATCGGATTTTTAGGTCACCTGAGCTTTGCTCAAGTGACCTATTCTAATCGCTTTTCGTCCGTCGTCGACCGTCGTCCGTCGTGCGTCGTGCGTCGTGCGTAAACTTTTACATTTTCAACTTCTTCTCAAGAACCAGTGGATGGATTTTTTTTCAAACTTGGTCAGAATCATCCTTGGTAGATGAGGCTTCAAAATTGTAAAATTGGGATTCCTACCCCAACCCCTGGGGCCAGGGCGGGGCCCCAAAGGGAAAATTATCCAATATTTCAAAAATCTTCTTCTTCAGACTCAGAGGTACTACACTCATTTTCTCT